TAAGACACAGTTCAAGTGAAACGATTGCATGAATGCATAAATTTCGTTCTATTATATAATAATTGAAAGAAAGACAGAAAGAAAATACACCATATTTCAGTTAGGCAAATACATCAACAATCAATTATTAGTAACACACCTCCAGTAATTTGTGTTCATTTCTTGCAGCACGTGCAGCGGCTGCAATTTCAGCTGAGTTCTGTTTTTTTAAGAAAAAATAGAACAAAATTTCAAAATGAAAAATATGCACACATCTGTAAATGTAACAACAACAACAAGTGAGATAAGCAAAAGCATTCAAACTGCTAAATAAAGAAATATATATTACAAAAGGGAAACTGCTTAAAATATTATCAGACCTATCACAGCCTTGAGTATTACAAGTCAGAAATCAATTAGTCAATCAGTCAGCAAGAAGTACCACATAATCTGGATTTTGAGTATTTTGGAATCGATCGTTTAGACATACATATCCCTCTCTGAGATGCAAACCTGTGTTCCTTGTCCATGATGAGAATTTACTTACGCGGAGCGGACTTCTCATGTATCAGGTCATAAGCCATATATATCGTTGACCAGGCTGAAATTGGGTGAAGTGGGAACATTGCATAAGATGAAGTTATGGACTTTACCGCTAAACTAAGCTAATCACAACCTATCGGCTGCAGAATTGGGATGTAATAATAAATTGCTAACTAGATAGTCAAACCATATAGTTCTGTAGTCTGAACATCGAAATACGAAGTATGCTACAGGTACGATATTATCCAGCTTAATGGCCACATCCTAAACGTAATTGAATGTTCTTTTCATATGGCCTTAGATCATAAGAAAAATGGTGTCACATTCCACTGTATCTACCAATTTAAATGTATGTGTAATCACATATACATAAAGAAGACACATCGACAACTACAAATAGGGTATTCAGAGCATATCCCTAAATGGTTCCAGAAATAAATTGAATCATCTGAACCCATTAATGGTAAAAATAAACTACCCAGCTCCTCTATTGCAAAATATATTATAGAAACGAGGCGTAAAATTTATGTTTAAACCTCTTTTGAACCTACCCATTAAAACGTGTTTAGGACGTATTCAAAGGTCTGTTGAAGGCCTACCGATTATGTGTGCTCAAAAACAAATTGTCGTCACACTTTACCTTACTTTATAAACTTTGTTTTGATACTAAGATAGATTCACTATAACCCCCACCCTCTCTTTGGCTTATTTTCACCGTCAATATAGCCGTTTAACTCGACTTACGTCTATTCTCTTATCTACAACGCTTTATTATTTTGTTGCACAGTTATGCTAAAGCTTAAATTACAGCTAACTAACTAAACAAAACATTCAACAATGATGTTTACATAATAGACATAATAGACACCAACTTCATAGAACGCTTTATATCTCATAGACTGAGTAATTCAAGAGAAGAACAAGAAGCTCAACAGAGATATCTTTTCGCAGATTTCTTCCTCAAAGGCTGTACAATCGTATTTACATACATACGTTTACATAAGTACAATTATTATTTAATTCTACATGATAACAAAGGAGATTAAAGGTGATAATAATTTTCAACTTCATATGAAAGTTTGAAGGTTTGAATACAGATTACAAAGGGCTTAGAAACAAAATTACACAGGACTACAAAATAGTTGCGTAATATGTCAAATGGTTTCTAACAAAGACAGGTGTAAACGAGACGAGCATGGAAACATTAAAATAAAATGAAGATGGAAAAAACAAAAACCCGAAAAATAAGGAGCCAAACCGAACTAGATCCATGGTAAATGTAGAGGTTGGACTAGTTTCTTTTGAGCACATAGCTCCGGATTTTCAGTGCATACAGCGAGAGCTTCTACAGTACAGAGAAGTCGGAAACGCATTGCCTTTGGTTGATTTTGTTTACTTTGTAAATAACTCTGAATGATGAGCCAGTTGAGATGCTGTGATATATATGGACGAAGTGTTCAATTATGACGCTTCCGATTGAACTAGTGCCTCCTCTTTGCAGCCATGCTGGGTAATGTTCTTTAACACGTTTTGGAAAGACACGCATAGAACGATCTATGTAACTAGCTCCTCAGGAGCAGCTGAAATGATATATGCACATTGGAGTAGTCGTATGTGGGAGTTTGTCCTTCACACTGCTCAGAAGCTATGGGTGGCTATGGAATATCACTCTTGGCCTTGCTGCAGGAAAGGTCTTCTTTAGGGAAATAGACATTCTTCTCTTTAGGATATCTACCTCTAAGTCTCCCCTGAAGTCCAGATTCAAATATAGTATTTTCATTCGCATTGAACTGCATTTTTCTCTTTTTGGCTTTGGTTTCATGTTCTTCTCCACGAAACCTGATGGGTATTCATTTGGAGGATATTTTTGAGAAATAAGAGCTGTTCTTCTAACAGTCAATGCTGCAGATTCTTCCGATACGGTGGCCAATAAAATAATGATGAAGTTCTTTTCCGACTCACAGGTATCCAACAATATAATTTTCTGTGGGTATATCTTTTCAGAGTCCCATCATCTCTTCTTTTTAATTCTACGTCCAGAAATGGAATCTTTGATTCATTTTCTAATTCCATTATGAATTCAATTGATAGATGGCAGCTGTTAAATTCTTGTAAGATACAATTTAAGTCGGACACTGGGTTTGAGATCAACCGAACATTTATCCAGACTTAAGAAAAGAGCGGAATCATTTCAACCTATAGCACAAACACACCTGTGACCTGTACACTCGATGTTGCCAGTTGACCCAAGTAACTAGCCAGAATTCAAATGTTTTAAACTGATACAGTCCTTTGAGTTAGAAGAAACCGGATGCACTGCTGGTGAACTCATTCTGTAGTAATCTAAACAGCTATCTAGTGTTTCGATCACCTCGATGGTGAGTACTGATCGACGTGCATGCATTCCATCTACTTATATCAGTCTGGTGCACATACCACCAGTACCCTTTTGCTCACTTTCTTGATCTTATCTATTGTAATAAACAGATAATAATTCGAAAATTCCTTTAAATTCAACCTCGAACTATATATACGACTGAATTAATTTTGTATTTATGGTTGGTTTATTACAATCGGTCGAAATGTTCGATCTTTGTTGACATGGCTCCTAGTATGGACGCTTCGTCAATATCTGGAATTTGCCATCATGTGTCACTTTGGTGAAATCCAGGATGCATATTTAGTCCCATATGAAGCTAGTTAGCTGCATTTAACTGCAATTCTCATTGAATGTTGCTATTCCCACTGATACTTGAAACCAACACATCCAATGTCTCAAATAATAACATATACCCGTTACACAAAAGATGGCTGTTGTTGCCCAGGCGGTATATTGGATAACGCTTTGGTATTTGTTACTTTGATTGGACATTAGTCAGTAATTAGTGTAATATGTCTAGTCATTAGTTTGGTGCAGACTTAATATTACCATTCAGGTTTGCAATGTGGCCACCACCATTCTAGGTAGCTCGCCATCACGATGCACTTTGAACTGTTGATGTTAGATGGTTGGAGGCAATCAGCAGGAAGCCTTGGACCTAGGTCTCAAGCTATTTGGCACTCGTCAACAAGGTGTATCTGCTATCTGAAGTCAGAGACGTTACCACTGAGCACTGCAGCCCTGGGTGATGCGGGTTCGAATCTCAGAAGGGACACAAATTCCTTCCAGGTAGCAGATATACCTTGCTGACTGGTGAGTACCAACTAGCATGAAACCTAGGTCAAGTAAGGTTTCCTGTGGCCGATTGACTCCAACCATCTAATATCAGCTTTAGTATTTGAAACGATGGGTGCAGAGTTCAACTCCCAATCGGAACACTAGCATTACTTGATTGTCATGATTCAAATAAATCATAATTTCCACCTGTGAATTAGCTTTTGAGATGTTCTATCACCAACATTAGAAATATCAGTCAATAAGAGATCTCACAATGGTCTCTTCCCTATTATGCATAACTGTGAAAGTATCTATTCACTAATCATGCTATACTTCCTACCATATTGGGTTAGGTTACACGAACTCCACCCTTGATGGATTTGAACAAAACAAAAACGACAGCACAGAGCTTATTATAGAGGTATTCAGAAAAACAAAGAAGGAAAAAAGTACTAAGGCCATGATAGTAAGAGAGGCTGGATAAAACTCCTTATGGGATCACTAAGGCTTCGCCTGTATAAAGAAGATGTAAGCGAAATCCTTTCGAACGACTTGACTGCACTTTATATACGACTCTGAAAAAAGTCTCTGCTAATGTTGCATAATCAGAAGTAATAATATTCTCCAAGACTGAACTGTTAACTGTTTTATATTCTCGTTTAACAGCCATGCCAGTACATCGAGACAATGTTCCACCAGTGCTGCCAAGGCACAGGAGTTCCTGTGTTCAAAACTCTTGATCCACCTTCTTCATACAGCCCCGGGGTACTGGGATAATCTATTCTCCACAACTCAATTAAGCATTCTGCTTACTATATATGTACTATGTCAACAACAATAGTAAACAAATATACAAAACAATTTGCATACCTCTTTCTTTTCATCATACTGTTTTTGAAGTAAAGCCCTCTCCTTCATTAAAGCATTCATTTTTGCGCGTAAATCACTGATTCGTTTTTCTAAATCAATCTGTAAAATTATAGAAATTATTTTTTCCATTGAGATATAATAAAATAAATGAGTTAGCATTTACGTGTGAACAAAAACAACATACCAAAATTTATTCACTTAATTCTAAATAGTTAAAGAAAATGCTTCCTCTAACAGATATCAATAATAAGTGGAATCTAGCCTACAAGACTGGACTACACTGACTCCTAACTAAGAAATAGGGAGTGAAGTGGTAGAGCGCGTTGACCGCTTCACTTATTTGGGAAGTTGTATCAGCCCCAACGGGTTGACGAAATCTCTGCATGGATACAGAAGGCTCGTTTCGCATATGCCAGTTTACGCCGTCTCTGGCTTAGTAGACGTGATATCCGTCTGACTGTCAACCAAAGGACGTGTGTACTGCTCAGCAGTTCGCTCCGTCCTCCTTTATGGCTGGCTGTAAGACCTGGCCATTGAGAGTGGAAGACATGAAAAGCCTGGCTAGCTGTCTTTGATCATAGGTGCCTGCGTTCTATCTCCCGTGTTAAGTGGTGGTATAATAAAGTGAACAATATTGAGGTAAGGCATCAGTTGAGTGCTAGGTAAGGAGGGGAAATCAATCGACGAGACTGTGAAGCTACACATCGACTGAGATAGTTGGGACATGTGTTGCGCATGCCTTTCTAGCCATCGCCTTCCTCGACAATAGGAAATGTTAGTTGACATAGGGTCAGGTTGGAAACGAAAGAGCTAGTAGTGGTCAAACCAAAACATATCTTCATCAGTCAATCAAATCCACAACAGTTAGTTTAAGCCACGTAGGAAGATGTAGGCTTCCTGGTTGGGGTCCTCGGGATGGTAAGCACCAATGAAGGCTTAAGACAATAGGTGATATGGCTGACTTAAAATCGTTTTCAATGGCGCAGATACATCCACTCCCTGTGACTTATAATACCCAATAAAACTATATTGTTCTTCGATATTACTATTCCTTTTGCCTTATATCTCTGTTTCTGTCTCTATTTTGCATTTCTTTTTACTTTCTTCTCTTGCTTTGTGTGCTGAGTGGAGTGTGGCCACTCGAACTGCTGCACATCGGTGCAAAGTTCTATGTTGAAACCAGCCAGCCAGTAGCCAGGAATCTAGCCTTCTTCTCAGTATATATTACTACGCCTACAGCCTCAAAAGCATGGTAAGAAAATTCTATTCACTACCTTGATGTGACAATAATGTTCTAAAAAAATTGAATCAGAAAACGTCAATGTTCAAACTCATCAACATTGAAGGACTACCTATAAAAGCTGGAAAACAATGGATCATGTCAAAGATTCAGGTGGATTTCAGGACTTAAACAGAACAAATGGCGTAAGAAACGCTTCCAGTAACTGTTAACTATGAAAATCCAACACCTGATATTGTTCAGCTGCCTTGGGTATTAGTTAAACTCAGAGCTGAAAGCTCGATTTCCCTGGGATAACTACCACTTCCCGTTTTCGTGTGCATACATACTGTCAGCCTTCACATAAATCCACAGAAGGAAACGCTAAATCTCGCAGTTATTCTCAGTGATGCTCGTTAATAACGTCTAACTACCACTTAAAAGAAACTTGCATCCTAACTAAGGCATTATGAGACACAATTTAACACTGTGAACAAAAGGGATCTTAGAAAACTTAATAGTAATGCTTCCTCCTATAGATATCAATAATGAGTGGAACTTAGCCATCCTCTCAGTATACATTACTACGGTAACAGACTAACTGACTTTACATAACAACAATGTTCGAATAAAAGTAGATTTAAATATTCAAACTTATGAATACTCAAGCACTATCTAGGGGGATTGAAGACCAATGGATCCTACAAAAGATCCAGATAAGTTACAGGATCTAAAAAGAACAAACGGTGTGTGAAATGATTCTAGTAACTGTCAACCATGAGAATTCAGCTCTTGACATCATTCAGCTGTCTTGTGTATCAGTCAGACTCAGAGTTGAAAGCTCGATTTTCCTGGAATAAATATCAGTTATAGTCTCCATGTCCATATAGAATGTCAAGCTTCACACAAATTCATAGAAAGAAAAACTTATTAATATCAGGAAAATTAATAATTCTCCAAAATAGGCTGAAGATGTTACCCAGAAGGACAATTAATGTTTCGCGACTAAACCACCCAACTCAGAGGACACAACCACGTTAAAATCATCCACCTGAGTTGCAAATCTTCCCTATTATATCAGAGAAACATGATCACTTTCAGTGGTATTCGATACTAAGTTTCAACCACCATTTAAAAGAAACTGGCGTCCTACTTTAGACTCTAACAGTCACAATTCGACAGGGATTCAACAGTTATGTACTTCTAACTATAAACCGGTTAAAATGACAGTCACAACCGCAAAATGCACTTCTTTTATATCTTCACCTTCACTACTCTCAATAAAAATCATATATTGAGAATAAACTGTGAATAAAAGATTTCAAAGTCTACAATACTTCAGGACAGTTAAAAGCTTTACTTCTTACACATATTATAGTCAGCTAACTTTTCAAATCATATCAATGAACAACATTGTACATGCAAATTAAAAAAGATTTCTTTGAATGATGAATGTCAGGAATTTTCCAGACTCGTGAATTCATGCGCCCTTGGATTCCGTCCCAATGTTCTACGAGGTCCTGGGTTCAAGCCTCAGTGGGTGAGTACTGATGAAGAGTCCCTAACTAGGACGAAACAGATTTCCAGTACTATCTGGTTTTCCAATGGCTCTCTAACTAATATCAGGTCGTGATCAAACCTGTAACCAATCAAATCCCTACAAACACACACTTGATAATTTTTTTTCAAATTGCTTCAAAAAGTAACAAAAGTTAAATAAACAAATCAATCAATAAAATTGTTTAATGAAAAACAACAAAACATACTAATCCATCAATATTGAATTTGTCATATAGGCCACGAGCTTTTAAACTAATTCTTAACGCCTCCCAATTGAATATAGGATCAGGAGAAACAATAGGCGGGAAACGATCATCTTCTTGGTATAATGTTGATCCACAAGGTGGATTATTCTTAGCAGCTTCTAATTTCTCTAGATATTCTTTACTCTCTTCAATATTATTATTTTGATTATTATTACTATTAGTGGTGGTAGGAGTAGTAGCAGTAGTAGTGGTCGTACATTGTTTCAAGGAATGACACAGCTTACGCTGAGTAAAAACAATCGGATTTATAGGAAGGAGTAATTTACATAATTGAAAACACTTGACACTTGACAGGAGATAATTGCCAGAAACCATAAGAATACCTGTAATAAAATCAGAAAACCAATTAGAAACGTAGAATACAATGAAAGATAACTCATTTATACTCATTACATCATTGAAAAAGAGCAAATATAATAGTAAAATAAGTCTGAAATGATAGGCACCAAGTGATTGAAAACATGACAACTAACTAACTGACTGAGTTTCAATGTAAAACTTCGCGCAGAAGTTCAAGTTACCACACGCCATTCAGCAAGAGAAGAGAAAACGTTCAGAAGAACCATAATGGGTAGACATCTAAGGGTAAAAGAATAATCCCATGGAGAAACATGAAAACTTAGTGCACTTGAGAGATTAAGACGACTGAATGTATCGGAGTTATTGAGAACGATTTTGAGCCATATCACAAACAGTCTCAAAATATTGGTTCATAGCGTCTCGAGAACCCCAACCAGGCAGTCTACACCTTCATAGGTGGTGACTGACTGAAACCAATAGTCAAAGACTTCATAGACTGATACCAGGTTTTGATTTGACTCCCCCCCCCTCCCAAAAAACTCTTTTCCAACCTAATTCTATGTCAACTAAGATTGGACGACAAGGAAGGTGGTGGTTTAGCAGAAAACATGATAAATGACTTATAGTGACGCCAGGAGAAAAGTATTCATCTATATTATTATTGTTCCCTTGGGTTCCTAGTGGAACATAGGGCTTCAACTACACGTCTGCACTTGTTTCTGTCTTCTGCTGTACTTTTCACCTGCATCCATGTTATTCCATACTGTTTCAACTCCTCTTCACACGATCTTCGGGTTCCACTCGAGGGCCTGACGTGCGATGTCACCCAGCGGCCTCCTCAGCGAGTGTCCAATCCATCTCCACTTTCTCCTGCATATTTTTTAACCTCGCCTAGATTACTAGCTTGCTAGTTTTCTAGCCGGTCCCAAGCCCGGATAAAGAGGGAGGGTTGGGGCGTGGTGCTAGCAACTCCACCCCCAAAACTTAACCAAATTGCTACAGAAACTTCAACGCATAAATATATTAAAAAGTATTCTTCTAATGAGGTACAAAATAATAGTATTATGTGCGAGAAATGTGAATTATTCAGTGAAGTAGTTCGGAATATGCTGAATTTCCTACGGAGTCGATAGCTCATATATATATATATATATCATGAATCCTATGCACTACGTTATAAAATTTATGTGACATGATAATGACACCACTATCGAACTACAGTTTGCATTTAATCCCCAGTACATGGGATAAATATCTCTGGGTCAGATAATTGAATATTGTGTCGAGAAGTGAGACAAATTTTCAACTTTCATGTACCAGGCTAAGAACTACTCTTATCACGTGAGAACTGATCCTACTACCTCATTGCCAAAGACGTAGTAGGTCAATTGTGACTAGAACCCGTGACCTGTTGAGTGCAAACCAAGCTCTTAAGCCGATGAGCTATATTTCTCCACAGTTCAGTGATAGAATTATCAGTAATATAAAATGACTTCAAGACAAATAAGTTTAATTTAAACAATTCGCCTACACTGTTGTCATTCTTAATAGCATTTTTCATATTTACAAAAATAAAACGGTACGCTTATGTCCATAAAGGTGAGCAACTAACATTTCTATATTTAATTTAAAATTGAGATAACCAGTCATGTGAAAGGATAAATTCTATTCAAAGGACAAATCGACTCATCATCTAAATAATATATACTCAGCGAAATTCCTGTTATCCATCTTCACACCATTCGTACTAACAGTCAACAAACCATGACAATGAATATTGGATCGTAAACCTGTTTTACACCTAAATATGTCATTGCAACCATTGAGCAGTTCTACACAAGATAACTTTGAAACTTTAGAGCACACTTAGGTAAACAATGAATTGATTTGATATAGTATTATTATTTATTAAAGACATTTTGAGCACAATATATTTAAATCATATCAAGGTATGACCAATGAATTGAGCTCGGCACGTCTTCAACAAATCAATAAATAAAACATCGTATCATAGGCTTATACATTACCAAAAAAGAGTTCAAGTGTTATTTATACATCGATTGTAGCATACACGTGACAGTAAATACTAACGTTTACCTAACAGACGGAACTAAAGTTCAATTCAGCCAACACAACAGCATCAGATGAGAAATACTCTTCGTTGACGAGATGGGAATGCTTTCCTAAACTAATTTATTTGATACTTACTGCTGATATGTGTACACATCAATGTATGTAGTGCAATCGCTCATAATATTAGAAGAGACGAATCAATAAGAAGCTGAAACTTTCCACTTTAATATGACAGGGTATTTCTACTACTAGAAATTTGACATTCTACAGTATTAAATGAGAAACGGGATAGAGACAAAGACGACAGAAATATCAAAATAAAGATATACTACTTAAACTGTATATGAGTAATATATTTTAAAAATTGAAAATTCTCCTTGAGTAGCATTAAAAAAGACTTGTCAAACCAACATATACAAAACGCTTTATTGGAGAAAACTTCGGTACCCACTACACAGCATCAATCTAGACAAGTAATATGGTATTATTATCGGGATGTAAAAATCACAACCATTGCAAAATCCTGTTGTCTTCACAGAACATCTAGAGACAAATCATGACCAGCGGGATCCACCAAGTTGCGTGTAAGGAATCAGGCACTAATGATGACACCGGCTGGTGGCCTGCGAATTGACAGGAGTAAGAACTCATGAGCCGACCACTGTACTCCGTCCCATTGGCTGAATGGTCAATGAGCTCGCCATATAAACTGAAGGTCCTGGGTTCGATCCCTGGTGGTGGAGTGATGGTTGCGAGCTGCTGGAAAGTCCCAAGCAGGGACAAAACCCCTGTCGATTACTTCCAGGCTTTCAATGGTTGTCTAAATGAAGTCAATTCGTTATCAACTTTGGGCGATATCTTGAACGCATGTATGTACATCACGGAACATAGTGATATCCCTGAATAGGATTGATAAAGGTTGAAGCCGACATCTTAAACTTAGCTACTAAAGTCTACTTTTTTGATTGATTTCTAAAGATTTGTTAGCCACTATGAAAGCCGAACTGCATTCATAAAAGAACTCAAAGTAAAATAAAGCAACAATTTCTATTAGCCCCTACCTTGTTCACATAAAGATAAGAGGGTTTTCTTAGATGGTTAGACATTCTACATAGACCAGGCGCTTTAAAACCCTGTCCCACTTTTGTTTTTCGAGTCAATCACCACACCAGACTGAAAATGACAATTAAAAAATTTGCCTATATTGTGATACACGCATGCTTGAACGCATCTGTGTGATAATACCGTGAGATTAGTCTGTATAGTAAGTAGAGTATAACATTATTATATCAACTTAGCTTAACACCTCAACTGTTTGTTTAAGCTCAATAACCAAGGACAAGTTGTTCATGTACCAGGCTACACGAGCCACACCTATCGTGTGAGGGCTATAAAAGTGTTCAGTTGCTCATGCTGATGCAGATGGAACGGAACTCAAACCCACAACTCACCGGCTGGAAACTCAGTGATGAAGCCAATGAGCCACATCTTCACCATGAACCATCCCCTTAGTGAGCTGTTCATTAGGTGTATTCAAGCGTGTATTATGTAACAAGCTCTTTCGAACAACTTGAACAAAAGCACCCTGATAGTATCATAAAATCTAACATCCTATATAGAAACAGGCATTAAACCTATTACCGTTTCATAGAGGTCCAAACCGTATTGGTTGAAATAACTTACAAGTTAGTGACTCTTTGTCAATGCTGAAGGCACTGAATGAGAAATTTGTCAGCGTGAAAATCATCTCCAACTCAAAAGTAACTTATGTGATATTTAAAGCATGAATATTATTTAAGAATGACACTATTACCAAAACGGTATACTGACTTGAAATGGAAGGTTTATGAATATTTGAAAGTGCCATGCACTCCTAGAGATCAATTGTTTGAAGACAACCTCACTTAACAGAATAAATACCTTAGCATTATTCAGTCTATCAGTGTGTCCACACTGCCGGGAATGGTTGTAGATACTTTCTTTGACAATCAATAATGTACGACTTTAACAATAACAGTAATATCCGATAAATTGATTGTATAAGATGGAGCGGTGCATCAGTGGTTCAGCGGTAGACTGCTTGCCAGCCAGGCATCCGACCAGGATTCAATTACAGCCAACGCACTTGTAAACCTTACTTAGTTTACTAGCCAGTAAGTAGTAAATGCAGAATAGAATGGAAGGCTAGGTGTGAGGCCCAAACACAATTCGTAAACACAACATCAAAGCCACTGAAATTTCAAACCTAGAAGCTTGAACCTATACTCTATTCGGAATCCAAACGAGAACCCCATAAGCTGGAGCAATTGAAGAGCCAATTTTGAGATTAAACTTTTAAAAATTCCACATTAAACATAACATAAATCAACAAGGAACATGTACGTTGGTATATCTGATTGTCGAAAACACGAAAACTTAATGAGTACGAACTTTATGTAACAGGTTTTTCAGATAGATAAATGTCCATATCTACAAATCTTCTCCCCACCAGAAACAAAATTATTGCCCATTCATGTACACCTGATAATTTAACTTCCCATCCATTATTACGGTTATTACTATGTTTCCTAGACTGTGTTTTCATTGTACTGTATATATTTAGGTGTGTAAACAACTGATTCACAGTTGCTCCAACCAGCTAACTAATCAATCAACACTTCGTAATACATCATTTGCGCCAATAAGGATGTACAAACTAAAAACAAAGCCATTCCGCTAGATTATGGCTTTCTCCTGTAAAGATTAGGATTAATTTCAATTAATTGGGTGCGCAATGTTGAAGGGTCCCAAAGTGGGACGAAGCGGCGGTTCAGTCCACCCTGGTTTTCATTGATTCTCTAACTGATACTTGCTCGTGACGACACCTATATTGATTGATATTCGACGAATAATGTTAATATCAATATTATGATAATTACAGAATATAATCTCAGCGAATACGTATTCTCGGCAATTTCTTACCAGACTTTACAAATACATATATAAAAGTTATTAAGCATAGACATTTGATACCAATGTGGTTAATAGAATTAAATTTCAAGTATATGAGTTAGTCAACGATAATCACATTGATCATAACAAGGATAAATTCATGCAAGTATTTGTATAATCTAGGCAACCATTCAATGTGAACAAGTGATATTATGAAACCAAGATTAAAATATCCACTGTTACCCGGAAGGAAAGCTATTTTATATGTTAGGTGAAGAAGCTATGGGAGAGAAAGTGACTGAACAAGCCTTTCCTGAATACGTAATTTGCATTGGGAATTTTCCATAGCAAATACCACAGCTATGCCTAGTAATCAAAGACGTACAAACCTAGAGAATTGTGGAGGCACCGTGTATATTAATCTTGTGCTTTTCACCCACTTTTTTTACTTCTTTACCTTCCGAGCGGAAAACAGGGCTTCAAGTTCCAGCTTTGCTGTTTCAGTAGTAGTGGTGCTGTCAGCTTCATGTCCAAATTTCCCTCTTTATCGATCTTACTAAAGGCTAAGCGAGAATTAAGAGCCCATCAGGTGGGAATCGAATCGGGTGAGCATTTTGTCGTCACTGAACCACGGACAGTATCCACTACGTGTGCCAATCTGAAACTCCTGATCCGCTTTCCCAACTATATTGTACAATGCCCCCAAAGAATTCTATTTTCCACAGCGTTATATCAACTGTCTAAGGCTTAGGTAATTTTATTGCATAATTTTCAAGGCTTGATAAAAAATAACCGAAAATATTTGCTTAAATTCTTCTCTCTAAATCATTCAATCAATAACGAACCATGATCGACCTTGAAATCAATCAAATCCCTGAACATTAATACTTGAAAATCGATCTAGTACTCACTAGGGACTCACTACAGTATGAAATCACTTGAAGTTTGCTAGTAGGAAATCATGACCAGCAGGGTCCACCATGCGTTGGGTGTGGGGACAAACAGTCTCTGACAACATTGGCTGGCCATCAAGCTATATAATGCGAACTGGTAGTAGTTAGAATCCATGGGCCGGCCACTGGATGCTGTGCCAGTGCCGGATTGGTTAACAAGCTCACCTTGTAACCTAAACGTTTTAGGTTCGATCCCTAGTGGTGGGGACACAGTTGCACACTTGCCGAGGAGTCCAAAACGAGGGCGAAACAGCTATCCAGTACTCTCTACTAGTGAATAGAACTAGTGTGAGTGTCTAGTCCTTTCTTCGGTGCAGACTGAATTCTACCAGTCAGGTTTGCAATGTGGCCACCATTCTAGGTAGCTCGCCATCACGATGTACATTGATTTGATTTTTCAATGGTTCTCTAATTGAAATCAATTTGTGATCAATCTTCAATAACAAATACCTACTATGAAGTTATCTCTACGCAATATTACTGTGAAAACTCCAAAGAAAAACGGACTAATAAATACATGCATCCGGGAGTATAGTACTGAACAGTAAACAATAAAGCGCAGACGTATCACCAACAACACGACAACAACAATAAAAACAAATAAAGAAATTCAACAAATCCAAGAGCAGCATTTTATTATTTACAAAATAATAAAATTTATACAAATCTCAGAAAAGTAAAAATTATTGCAGATGAAATAAATTAGTATATGCAGAAAGGGTGTTAGAGAAGACAGTAAAATTTCGCCTTTCTTCATGTTCTTTCATGTTCATCAAGATAACGATAGACACGACGTAACTTCTCCTTACGCTTTTTCGATTTAACATGTTGCTGTTTCCCAGTAGTTCCAATTGGATTTGTTGCAGACGGTAAATGGTGCGCTGAACTCAAATGTTTCGAATGACTTAATAAACGCCAAGGTTTTTTCATTGTTGCATCTTCTAGAATTATTTGTGTTGTCCCGTTACTGATACAGGATAAATTGCTAACAGTTTCAACTGAGCCTACAGTGCTCCAAGATGCAGTGGATGAGGCACCATCATCATCATCCTCCTCCCCATCACCATTAATGGTTGACTTGTTAATTTGAGAACGTAAGACAGGCATACGTTTATTAGATTTCATAAGTTGACGTGGACACCGATTCTTTATACAATAGAGAAAATAAACAAAATGTAAAATGATTAATTTACGGTTAATTTTATGTGGCTTAAAAATCCCCATTGATCATTTGAAAAAGAGAAGACGTTCAGCGAAGATCTTTCGCAATTTTAATACATTGCTTCACAATAGCATTTATATACAATTATTTTTTGTATGTGTATATGAGGTCGTCAAGTTTAGATAATAATAGTAATCACATGCGCAAAAATAAGCTCTGCTTCATTCAGCTAAATACGCTACTGCATTTAAATGAATCATTTGCGTCAGTGTTTCAATGGTTGAATGCCTGTCAACTACGCCTCAAGTGGGCCGGGTTCGATTCCCGGCCGATACAGTCCTAAACCTCACTTGACCGGTAAACAGGGAAGGTTGAGTGTGAGGCTAGTAACACCACACTGTGAAAGGAACAACACCATCGCTACCAAAACTTTAGACCTTGGAAGCGGGTTCGAGGATGACATGGAGTAGATAACGTGGGAGATGATGAGAGCTGGAGGGCAGTCGTAACATTAGGTAAAAAGGACTGCAGAGCACAGAATGAAGTGGAGAGGTGCAGATGAAGACCTATGTTCTACTCAGAGCTCAACAGAATAATAATAAATAAGCCCCAATGATTACCATTGTATTGAAGAGTAATACCAGTGATAGCAAGTCTACGATTTACTGAGAGAAAATACAAGAGAGACATTTAGAAAATGATAAACGTGAAATTGACTGCACAATTTACAAATATTATCATCTATTTTAGATTAAATATTGCTTTATTCGTCGTTGTCTGGTGTTTGTTCGGTTCTTTACTCTGGACTTGTCTTCTTCAGTGACTTTTCCATCAACAAGTATACTGTTATTGTTTCTCCCAAGACGTTACTCTACTTATGCCTATTTGTAGATACAACACATTAAAAAACCATTCATTGACTAGGCTAAACATAGTATTATCTGCTGGATATTGACTGACAGTGGAATCCAGGATGTACATTTCGTCTTTGGTATTTAAAAGAATGGATGCCAGCTTCGATTCTCAGTGGGAACACCATCACACATGCAACTGACGAGTCCCAAGTAGGACGCAAATCCGTATCCTGAATTCCACTGCTAGTCACCAGCCACCAGGATAAAATCATGTTAATCCACAGAAATCGTAAAAGCATCCGCACTAGAAGCCGATAATGTCAACATAGACTAAACACTTCGAAGTAAAATCAATCAAGAGAAAATGCAAAACTAGCTTAAACAAATAGCTAACACAGTTAACCTTTATAAATATAATGTAAGGGTGAATTTATTAACCCGGCAACGCATATCAATCAAATACAATAAATTGAATTATGAGTTTTCGAAGGGGGAAGGGGTGACGGGGAGGAGGAATTTGGACTAGTTTCAGCGTATATTTCATCACGCTCCAACATCATCAGTTAGAGAATCATTGAAAACCAGGGATCACTGAAAAGCTGCTGTTTGAAAAAAAAGATGTCGACTGGTGACCAAAATATAGGCTGAAATTAATCCAAGTCCCTATAAAAAATATCTATAATATAAATATCAATCTCCAGCACCATTGACGGCTGCTGCCCTGAAATTGTAATGCAAAGTCATGACACGTGAGGCACAGCATGTCAAGATGAAGTGGATGGTCATCGAAGATATTGGTTAGCGATGGACTCTATGGCACGCATTTATAAAGAATTCACAGGTCATTAGATTCCTGCCCAAGCAGCACACTGGTCAATGAGTTAACCTCGCAACCTGAAGATCTTCGGGTTCCACCGCTAGTGGAACCATGAGTGTACACTGTTATCGACTAAAGGGCGTGTGTACTGCTCAGCAGTCCACTCTGTCCTCCTCTATGGCTGGCTGTGAGACCTGGCCATTGAGAGTGGAAGACATGAAAAGGCCAGCTAACTGTCTTTGATCATAGATGCCTGCGTTCTATCTCCCGTGTGAAGTGATATAATAAGGTGAGCAATATTGAGGTTAGGCATTGGTCGAGTGCTAGGTAAGGAGGGGAAATCAATCGACGAGGCTGTGAAGCTACATCGACTGAGATGGTTAGGACATGTGTTACGTATGCCTAGTCATCGCCTTCCTCGACGGGCAATGTTAGTTGCTGACATAGGGTCAGGCTGGAAAAGAGCTAGCGGTGGTAAAACCAAAACATGGCTTCATCAGTCAATGAAATTTACAACAGTTAGTTTAAGCCAGCCACGTAGGAAGGTGTAGACTTCCTGGTTGGGGTCCTCGGGACGGTAAAAATCAATGGCTGGAGACAATTGGTGATATGGCTCAAAATTGTTCTCAATGGCCGACCAAGATGCATCCACTCCTTGTGACTTATAATTTCCAATGAAACTATATTGCTCTTCGTTATTACTATTCCTTTTGTCTTATATCTCTGTTTACTGTCTCTATTTTACATTTCTTCTACTATCTTCTCTTGCTTTGTATGCTACATGGAGTGTGGTGACTTGAACTGCTGCACATCGGTGCAAAGTTCTATGTTGAAAACAGAGAGACAGAATGTACACTGTTAAAGAGCCTTTAACTAGGAGGAAACAACTGTCCAGATTCTTTAACTGATGTTGGCTTGTGACGAAATCTACATTTAAAATACAAAAATTATAACACACACACACAACAACAAAAAATGAAACACAAACCTCTTTAAACACTAATCGATCGAAATCAGTCACAATCTCATCAACACATTCATTCCCTGCACTTTTATTTTTCTCTTCAAATCGTTTAATAAATCTTTCAGCTTTAGATGGATCAGGAAAATATCCTACTCCACAAGGTAGACCATCATCTCTTCCAAGTGACTGGAATGCAACAGGATCAGTGACAGTTGGAGGTGGATAACAGTATAAGAGTTTACCCTGAATAATTGAAGAAAAAAATATAAGTAATTCATAAATAATCCCCCATCCAGAAATTAATGAGAACAAAACAGGTAGTAGTTCAGTGAGGGGTCTCTTTTCGGCGGCGAATTCATTCACTTAGCTGTGTACAATCACAATTATATATAATTATCTTTTTGTATGTATGTGTGTACATTAGGTTTGTTAGACAAAAGTAAAAATTAGTTAGGATTGTTTTTTTTTCCTTCACGTTCCCCAATGGAACATAGGGCTTCAAGCTAGTGGCTTGAAGTTTCTGTACCAGTGCTTATTTGCTTGCTAGCCTCATGCCCAACCTTTCCTCTTCACCAGTATTATTTCTGGCTTAGCGAGGTAAAGGAGTGTGTCGGCCGGGGACCAAACCCCGGACCATGTGCATGGTCGGCGAGCGTCCTAACCGCCATACCACGGACGCACAGGATTATTGTTTGCGTCATCCAAATTATCCAAAACATGTGATGAATAATCAGATTGTAACTAGGGGAGAGTGGAGATTAGTAGGAGGGTAGTTAGTCAATGCAGGATAAAAGAAGCTGAATAAGTGTACTGTAGCTATGTGATAAGATGAATAATTTAGTCACTGAGTTTTGATTAGGATGTACAGAGAAACGAAGGAAATTATGGAATTATGTAAGAGTTGCAAAAGAAATACGAGAGTTATAAGGAGTCAGAAAAGCAAGTACACAAACATCAAGTCAGTAGGAATCAATATGGTTGTTGTCATGATAGTAGAAGCGGTTGAGTGATTTTCTTTTCCAACTGAATGGCTAAGGCTTCAGCAATGCAAAGGAGACAAAAGAGTATTGCCTTTCGGTAGGCTATTTTTCACTCTGTCGATTACTTTGAAGGAAGTGTTTGTTGAGATGGAATGGCCAGTGTTGACAAGGTGTTCGATTATTGCACTCCTCAGAGAGTCACTAATACCTTTTTGCATGCATACATGCGGGATAGTGTTCTTGAACCCTTTTAGATAGGATACGCATCGAACGACCAATGGACCTGGCACCACAGCAACAGGTGGACTGATATATGCATATTGAAGTGGTCAAATGCGAGACCATGTCCTTAAGGCTTCTGCAGACTAATGGACGACTGGAGAACACTACTTTTAGCATTGCTGCGGAAATATCACAGGCTGTCTCCTTTGAAATCTTGGTTCATGTAAAGTTTCTTTTTTGGGACAAATAATGTCTCGTTTCTCTAGACTTTTGGTCTGATATTCTTGTCAATGAATCTTGGTGGGTATCCATTTTGGATGTAAATTTCTTTCAGAAGATCCAGTTCTGCTTCCAGGGTGTCAGGACTGCAGATGCGCCGGATCAGACTGGCAAGAGATTTGATTAGATTTCGTTCTCGTTCAACGGGCACACAACTGTAGAAGCTTATTAAAAGACCGTTTCAAGTGAGTTTTCTATGGACTGATTTTCTTAAGGTTATGTTGGGTCGTTTTGTTGATTCCATATCAAGAAAGGGGATTTTGGACTTGTTTTCCATTTCCACAGTGAATTTTATTGCTGAATGGCAGTTGTTAAATATTTGTAGCGATTTATTGGGGTCGTAGCTATTGTCGCAAATGATGAAAATTTCATCTAAGTACCGTTTATTCCTGTCTGAAAAACCTAATGTACACACACATACATGCATATAAAAATGATTATATATAAGTGTGGTTGCACAACCAAGTGAATGAATTCACCGTAAAGAGACTCTTCACTGGACTATTACGTGCTTTGTTCTCATAAATATAAGTAAGATGTATGCTTCAGCATTAACTGACAACACGATACAACAAGAAATCACGTGCATCTCATTACATATTTACATCTTAAACAACTTAACCTATAAAACAGAAATAGACCAGAATATAATATTTAAAATATTTTCAGTTGTTGGTTTACAGGGTTTTGATCGGTTTCAAGTTAGATCACCGACTGACATCAGTTAGAAACAGAGAACCACCGGACACCAGTCAGTACTGGATATAACTGCTTCATCCTGGCTAGGGACTCTTCATCAGTACACACCCATGATGTGTATCCAAGTGGCGCAACAAATCACGAATTGACAGAAGTTAGAGGAATGGTCAACGAGGTCCCTTTTAACCCGAAAGTCCTCGGTCTCATTCTTAGTGGGATCATGGCTGCATATCGCTGCAGAGTTCATAACTAGGACGAAGAAGGTACTGTCCGGTACTCCTTCGTTTTCAACTGAGTTCTAACTACTGATAAAGACAACTACCCTTAAAATCTACAGAATTTTTGAACTCTGAATTAATGCCCAGCATCAGGCCTTTTAATTCCTGGGAAAAATAAATAACTTATCAGAATTTAATGCTTCAATCATTTCACAATATGATAAACATTATTGAGTCCTGTAGATGGACATTTTTCCTGACATCGGATTCATCCTACCTGACAAGGGAAAAATTTTCATGTGTTAGAGTATCTTAGTAAATATACCCATTCGTGTTTAAACAGCTCACACATGAAACATAATTGGATATTTGAGCCATATGAAATTGTAGGCAGCACAGATAAGGATGTCAAAGCCAACTAGGATCGGTTCAGGAAAGCAAGACAGGTGTCCATTACTTTATAATCTGAAATAATAGAGAAGATTTGTAGCTCAGGTGGATGATTTGCAATTAGTTGTGTTCTCTAAGCTGGTTGGTTTAGTTGCGCAGCTTTCGTCGTCCTTCTGGACAATATCTTCAGCGCAATTGTCAGCTTAAAGTGAACTGATTTAAATTTTCCATGAGTGATATAATTGCGTCTCCCAGTAACCATCTTTACATATGTATTGGTTATTTTTTGTTGAATTGGATTTTAAAATTTCTTGTCACATGATTAACTTTTTATTAGTTGGTAGATTTGGTCCATATTAACATGTTTGTTAATCGCATATTCGTTTGAGTACCAGGCTTCTACGAATTCTCTGGCACTTTTGGTGTTTCCTCTGCTTAAAATTCCGACATTATCCCAATCAAACTGATGTCCATAATCATCTACATGCATTGATATGAAACAGGAATATATATCATGTCCTTTCACAGCTAATTTGTATTTCTAGATTCCGATTCGAAGGGGACGCCCACTTTGGCCGATGTAATGTTTGTTACACTTTATACAGTTTATTTTGTAAATGGTAATAATTTTATCTTCTTTTCCCGTTGGATGGATCTTTCGGTTTGCACAATATCAAATGAAGTGATTGTGCTGGCTGATTTGTGTGCTATATCTATTTCAAACGGTTTCAATATTCTAGCTGTTATTTCAGAGATATTTTTTATGTATGGTAGGATGAATTTTCTTGCAGTCTTTGATGATGGTTTCTTGTTGGTGTTGTGACTCGATGTTAAACACTTTTTGAAGACAATTAGTAGGTATTTTTCTTCCATTATTTTCACTGCTGGAGTGCTACAGTGCGTTTGAACTCTTTTAAGCAATGTCTGCACACAGTTTCCTTTGTGGGTAATTGGGTTATTGCTACTATAGTTGAGTATTTGGTCTATGTGCGTTGATTTTCTATATACTTGTGTTTCTAAATCTCCTGTGTTGGTTCTCCTGATTAAGACATCTAAAAATGGGATTTTGTTATCTAATTCTTCTTCTCTTGTGAATTTGATGTCTTCAAATATGTTGTTTAATAATTTATGGGTATAATCCGAATCATTTCCTTTAATTATTACAAATATATCATCAACGTAACGTACCCAGACTTTTAGTTTAATTATAGGTAGGTTTAATTATAATCTGTGCGATAATCTAGCGCACTCAGTATAAGGAACAAATCCAGAACTTTCAACACTACTGTCAAGTCAGTGAGTGCTTCTATACAGTTAAGATTTGGCGCATCAAAGCATTCCTAACAGGCAGCTGAAGACCTTCCATCAACAGCTGCCATCGCTCCATACTGAAGATTAGATGGTGAGCCAGAAAGGATAAGCAACAAGGTACTCTGTCAACGAACCAGCTCCCAACAAATATGCATAGGGGAATGGAAATGGATTGGACATACACTAAGGAGACCATTGAGTAACGCCCCCTATCAGGCCCTCAAGTGTAACCCAAAACAGAAAATGGAAGTTGGACATAGAGGAGGTTGCGTGGCGAGGAGGAGACGAAACCTCATGGGCAATCGTAGAGCCAGCTAAAAATCGACTACAGAGAACAGGGTAAAATCAAGATGTGCTTCTGAAGCCCTACACATTCCACTCGGAACCCAACGGAAATAATAATAATAACAACAATAATAGTTTTGAAAAATTCACTTTACCAGAAAAGGGAAATAGCCTACACCTCATCGTAAACACTGAAGAAAGAAAAGAAAAACAACAACACCGTATTCATCTTACCTTTACATAATCTTTTAATATAAGTCTTGCTGAACGATCATAATTTGGATTACCTTTAGCTGTCATAAAGCCATGCATAACTACAGTATAGAACGAATTAAATGGAGAAGAAAAAAAAGAAAACACAATTAAAAATGCTAAAATATTTTTTTGAAGACAGGAAACAAAATAACTCATTTATTTACTAGAAAGAAAGAATTACACATACAAAAGGGTTGACAAAGTTTGCCAAAAGGGACACACAAGTACATTAGTCCAATTTGTTTTGCCTTATTTCCTTTTATGCTATCACATTCCAATATTTTATTATTCTATTTTATTAACAACACTCCACAACGGCCACCTTGTCGTGGTAGTCGGACTTGCATACTGCAGTGACCCAACAATCTACACTGGCTGGGACTCATGTTTCTGCAGGTCCTATCATTCCAGGAAGGTTGTTTGGGTAGCAGTTAGACCAAAAGTAGTTACTATGAAGTACATGGGCTCCAGAATCCAAACGGATCAAATGGCGTATGAACCTGTATTGGTCACTGGCAACCATGGGAACGTAGCTCCTGACGCTGCTCGGCTGCCTTGTGGATTAGACTCCAAGTCAAAAGCTCGGCGAGTGGTCCCTTAAGACAACCCCAGCTGCTTCGCTCTGGGCGCCTGGGCAGTACCTCAGTCCTCACACAACCAATGAAATGAAACAAAAAACTGTCAGTGAAACTTATTGCACGCTTTCAACAATGCTCTAGAACAATAATGATGTTTTAAGTAACGCATATCTTCCCAATCTTAATTTTATTTTTAGACACAGATTCTTTTTACTTTCGTAACCTTAGTCTTCACTTTCGTCAGCCTTTCACTTTTGTCTACGCCTACCTGTGCCATTCCGAGATGTTAGTGAGTAGCCCTCAAAATGGTTGTCCGCAGTGCGACACCTAACACAGATATCCTGAAACAGCATACCACGTTCAAGCTGGCCACCTACAATGTTTGCACAATGGTACAAATCTGACAAAAAGAAGGGCTGGTAAGAACATTGGAAAGCATGAGTGCTGGCGGAGGGGTAACGGATGAGATTTCCAGCAGCCACCTCTGTCACCGTAGCGACGTTAGCCTGGTTGTCAAAGGTCGTGTGTACATCGCTTCGGTGTGGGCTGTCTTGCCCTACACCTGTGAAACCTGGCCTCTCTAAGTTGAGGATGTGTGGCAGCTCTGTGTATTCGATCATCGCAGGATTGCTTGCGTTCGGTGGCATCATCGCGTGAGTAATCCTGAGGTTCGGCGACGTGTTTGGACAAGGCGGAGATCACCATTCGTTGAGTGTCGTCATCTGGAAACACCGGCATCGGTGGCTTGGACATGTGCTAGGAATGTCATCCCAGAGGCTTCCGTACAGGTCTGGATGGAAAAAGCGGAGAAGTGGTCAACCCATGACGTGGTGTGGTGGGATGAAGGATATCTGTTTTGGGTTAGCTATCAGTTGGTGCGTCAAGACTCCCTGGCTGGAGTCCGAGAGATAGCTCGAATCGATGGCTCAAAACATCATCTGATATGGCCAAGAATCGCAACCAACGGCGAGAGTGCTGCAATTTCCTTCTTTTTCCCTTCCCGATGATAGTTGGCGAATGCTGTTTGAACTTATTAAATATGACTGTTTTCCTTTCAGATGAAGTTCTTTATCCGTTTTCCACCTATATTTTTTACTTTTAATCTATGTTCTACTATTTTTGTGTGGCGCATCTTCTTGGTGCCATTCTGTACCAAGCATTTTGTGTTGAATTAAATATTTTCTCATCTTATTGCATTTGAACATAACAGATTAGCATTTGCTAATGTGTACTTATTATTTCATCTTTTTCTCACATCTATCGAACTTCCTTTATTCATCCATTCATATCTCCAATCAATCTGTGATTCATGATCATCTACACCAATATATTATCATAATTTAGTATATCTGACATCATTTCCTTGAAACCATACAAAGGATCAGATGTGGTTGCAAATGGATAAATGTGATTATTAAACAAAAATGATATCCATTCTTGATGATAAAAGTAAATTCTTAGAGGATATCCTATCTGATGATATCAAAAATTTAAGAGAGAAAGTAACATCTTATCCAGCATGGACACTATTAAGGAAGAAGAGTTCAATTCTTTGAAAACTATGAGATCTGACCTTCTCAAGCTTTATAGATTATCCAAGATTGATAAAATTGACACCCCCATTACGCTCAATTCTATCGATGTATTATTCTCCCACAGATTAATTGGCAAAATCGTTTGCTAACTTTAACCCTGTTTTCTAATAACATCATCCTAATTTCTACTACTACACATACACACACAACAAAACTACTCGTTGATGATATTAGATGGTTGGAGGCAATCGGCCACAGAAAGCCTTCGACCTAGGTTTCTTGCGAGCTGGCACTCACCAGTCTGCAACCGTGAAGGAACTCATGTCCTACCCCTCTGAGATTCGAACCCACGTCACCCAGTGAGTGCTACAGTCAGAGCTGAGCTATTCGGGCGCGCGAGTAACCTCCTGTAGGACTGTAGTGGAAACTTTGATTGGACACTAGTAACTAGGTGATGTGTCTAGTCCTTTCTTTGGTGCAGATACGCCTTGCTGACGAGTAACTACTAGCACGAAATCTAGGTTTACAGCTTCCTGCCGATTGCCTCCAACCATCTAATATCATCAAATCAATGTGCACCGTGATGGTGAGCTACCTAGAATGATGGCCACATTGCAAACCTGACTGATAGAATTCAGTCTGCACCAAAGATAGGAGGACTAGACACATCACACTAGTTACTAGTGTCCAATCAAAACTACTTGTTATTGTCTATTGTAAATTATTTTTGAATTCGATTGTACAGCTATGGGGATGAAATCATCGGAAAGGGAATTTTCTTCGGTGAAATCTTTGTATTCACATGTGATAGTTGAAAAATCAAAACTTTCACAATGATCAAATTGAGATGATTGTTAACCGAATTAAATTTGATGAAACCGTTCAGTTTATACTTTTAGAAATTAGATAGTCAATTTCATCACTGAGAAATGCACTCCAGTAAGTTGTAAAATAAAATGGTAGTTGCGTATTTCGTGAGAGGAATGAGTTAGTGTCCAGAAGCGCAGACTGAGTAGTTGTCTTAAGGGCCTACTACCCCCTCCCCCTCCACCGAACTCTTGATTCAATGTCTGGCCAACTAGGCGGAAGAGCAGCATCGATAGCTGTCCTCCCATTGTTATCTGTGATCAAAACACATTAAAATTCATCATTCATTACTACTATACCCGATAGTCTACAATCTGGGTTTTTCAACTCGCCTAGATGAATCGTCTATGTCCAACAATTTAATGCTGAATGCCGGTCACTCGCACGTACTGTTTCATTTTTCTAATGACATCCCTGAAGCACTGAATACGATTTGCCCGGGATAGACTATAAAAGAAACCCTACATGAGAACATTTGGAGGAAAAGAGACGGGCCAGGTCGTGTATCTAAAAAATTAAAGAAACTTATATACCCTCTATCCTATTTCAGACCTCTTTTTCATGCTTAATGATATGCAACGATTCACACGTAGAGCAAGCCAGCTGCTTAAAACTTGGTAGGTGGCCGGATGGCTGAGAGTTGAGCGCCTACACCAATGTGATAAAAACCCTCACTCATTTTCTCCCTGTATCATTCAACGAAAAAGTCAGACAAATGATCGCCTCCTCGCTACTCCGATTATTCACAAGATGCTAACTACTGTCGCTGATAAGTCTCTAGCGTGGGTAGAAAACTGTCGATTACGTTTGAAATACGGTCAATAACTTGAATAATAACTCAATACGGAGTAAATATACGGTTAGGCAAAATGCGGAGGAGGCAATACAAGGTCAATAACCCACAGATCATTACGTATAAAACTTGCTACCTGTTAAGCTTTCTTGTTTCAACTACCTTTACCAAAAAGTAGATCTGCTACTTTTGCAAATTAATTTGTGATTTGCAATTCGCACAGTTTGAGGAGGTGAAATTTCACCGCAGTTTTCTTTGGAAACCGAAATTATTCAGATCACAATGTATATGATCTGCTTGATACCGTAAATGGTAATCAAGAAAGCAAGCGTAAATGCATGACGCCATGTTCAACTGCTGAAGCGATAGGATTAGTTAGATACCACTTACATCAAACAGTGATACTTGCTAGTCAGATCAAATTGGTCTAAACACCAGATGGCTTATTAGTGGTGTACCCCCACAGTTCGACTCAGCTCAGACAACCTAATCAACTCAAAACCACATTCACCAACATTGTGTGAACATCAGTGTCAGTTGAAAATTGGTTACCTTACATAATCTGTGCGCCGGTAGTTCAGCGGTAAAACACCCACCAACCACGCATGCGATCCGGTGTTTGATCCTCGGCCGACGCCCTCCTAAACCTTGCTAAGCCACTAGTAAGAAGGCTGGTAAATAGGGAAGGTTGGGTGTCAGGCTAGCAACCCCACCACTGCTCCTGAAACTTCAAAGCTGTAGCTTGAAGCCCTATATTCCGCTCACAACGTAAAGGAATAAAAGAAAATATATAATCTAATAAAAGAAACACAACTCGGGAAAAGGTAGATGAGACAGATTTCTGGCTTGACTGATTAAACAATAAAACTAACATGCATGAGCAGCTAATAATTCATGTGGTGTCAAAGTTCGACTTGGCTTATTCTCCAACTGTGAATCTTGACATTTCGGCAGATTAATTCCATACATGATTTCTAATACATCACGTGGTATCCTTTCACAAACCTAAAATTATGTGAAAAATGAACTAAGAATAAATTGGTTGACAAAATAAAGAGAAAACGTCATAAATACACGAGTTACTCTAAGAAAAACCTGAATTCGTTTAAGAGAGGACTAGAGATTACAGAAAAGTTGTTTGAGAGTTGAATCTGAATAAATGGCCTTCAAAGTACACGATCCCATTTCAAAATAAAGCACACTGTTATTAAAGTGAAATAGGCAACAGCAAAGAATAAACACCAAAGTCAAATGACCTTGATTTGACCAATCAGATTCTTCTAGATGAAAAGTGCTACTTAATTTACAAAGAAGTGTGCATCTACGATATATACATGTAATAAAAATGAATAATACAGGGTATATATCTCTAATATGCTGCAAAAACTGGTCCCACATTCTCATGGAAGTGGTTATAGACATATCACACCAATGTATTCTCTGTTTCTCCAAACTTAAAGCCATACTAATCATATAAGAGCTGACGAAGGGTGAAATGAGCATTCTAGATTCGACGACTAGTCACTATCTACCAAATAACAATATAACTATGTTTAATTGAAGACAGTTTCCATAATTCTACTAACTACTTAAATATCACTTTGAATCGGTACCTTATTCAGTTTGTATTTTTCTAGTTATTCACAGTGTATTTGTCACTATTCAAGATAAATATGTAAGCATACACATTACACATTTCACCTTAAAAAACACTGGATGGCTGGAGAATATCACTCTGGACGCTGTTGTTGAGGGGGGGTGTCTTCAGTAAGAAATTAGACATTCTTTTCTCTTTGAAATATCTGCTATTAACTCTCCACCTAGGAATCATGCTCCTGTCGACGCCAAGTAAAATTCTGAGTCGCATCATCCTGAAGAGAATAAAGGACGCGCTGGATACAGAACTCCGACCAGAACAAGCTGGATTCAGGAAACGCAAATCATGTTCTGACCAAATTGCAACTCTACGCATCATCATCGAACAAAGCATGGAATGGCAATCAAACCTCTACCTCAACTTCCTTCATAGACTTTGAGAAGGCCTTCGACAGCGTTGACCGCGAAGTAATTTGGAAACTACTCAAGTACTACGGCATACCCCAACCTTATTCAACAGCTGTACGACAACAGCACATGTCAAGTGATACACAACGGAAAACTCAGCGAGGCATTCGGAGTAAACACAGGAGTCACACAAGGGTGCTTATTATCATCAATGATATTCCTAATTGTGGTGGACTGGATTATGCGTCAGACAGTGGGAAACGAGAAGACAGGGATATTCTGGACCGACGTGAAGAACCTAGAAGACCTGGATTTCGCGCGTGGATGATTTATGTTTGATGTCACACAAAATCGAAGACTTACAAGCGAAAACCGACAAACTGGTCGAAGAAGCAGCAAAGACAGGACTCCAGGTGAACATAGACAAGACGGAGGTTATGAAAATAACCAAACAACAACAACAACAGCAACATCCAGCGCCAATCACCATCAACGGGAGCGATTTGAAAGAGGTTACTTCATTCACTTATCTAGGGAGCATTGTCTCAACTACAGGAGGAACGGACGAGGATGTCAAATCGAGAATCGGGAAGGCGAGAAACACATTCATCAACTTGAAACCAATCTGGAAATCTTCGTCACTCAACATCAACAACAAAATTCGGATTTTCAATACAAACGTCAAGTCAGTTTTGCTATACGGATCAGAAACGTGGCGGGTCACAAAGAATATTTCCAACAGCCTGTTGCAGACCTTCATCAACAACTGTCTTCGCTCTATACTGAAGATCAGATGGCCAGAAAGAATCACCAACAAGAAACTATGGGAACAAACAAAACAAGAACCAATCGCTCAACAAATATGCAGGAGAAAGTGGAGATGGATTGGACACTCGCTGATGAGGCCGCTGGGTGACATCGCGCGTCAGGCCCTCGAGTGGAACCCGAAAGGGAAGCGGCGAGTGGGACGTCCAAGGGTGACATGGAGGAGATCGTGTGAAGAGGAGTTGAAACAGTATGGACTAACATGGATGCAAGTGAAAAGTACAGCAGAAGACAGAAGCAAGTGGAGACGTTCCACTAGGAACCCAAGGGAACCCAGGTTCATGTATAGTATTTCTTTTGGTACTGAACTGTAATTCTTCCTTTTTTGGCTCGTGTCGATTATCCATCTCGGACTAGGATCTTTTTGAAAAGCGAAAGCTTTAACGGTTTCGTTTTGTTATATGATACATATTCTCATTTGCGAAAGAGACGGGAAGTCAGCAGCCTTCGAAAAATTAGTACACGTCTCAATCAAAGAGAAGTTCAAACTAATTTCAACAGGTACCAACTGATACCTGCTGCACAAGAGACAGTTTTCATGACACACTAAGGATTAGCGCATAGCACTGAAGCATTTAAAACGATGGATATTGAGCCCCAGTCATATTGGAAACACTATCACTCACTCGGATGCAGGTACATCCATCTGATTAGTCCAAAACAGGATGAAAAGCGCCTCCTAGACTGCACTGTTGGCCACCACCAACCAAATAGCAAACTATCGTAGATTAACACCTAAAGATATTTCTTCAAAGTGAAAGTAAATAAACAAAGATGATCAAGTCAGTATTCAACTTCCTTTGACAAGGAACTTATAACTACTACTCACAATACCAGGTACTAGTTAAAGTAATAAATTAAAAAAGAACAGGGATTTATTAAGACAACAAAACTTACTAAACCAATCGGCGCTAAATAATCACGCATTTCATCTATGGATAATATCCCAGCAACAATTAAATCTGCTTTTGAATAAGCAAATGAAGGCATAACCAATCCTGGACAATCACAAAGTATTAAATCTGATCGAACATATATAGTCTAAAAATTTGAAGAAAAAGAAAATATTAAAGAGAATACACTCAAGTTAGAATAATTTTGCATATTACATATAACATCCTCCAGTTGGTTAGAGCAAATGTAAGGATCATTTTAACTTCACTTACTACCCATGGTTGAACTCAGTTCTCAGGAAAGATCTTTCATGTTCCAGGCTATGAGCCACATTTATTGTGTGTGAGGGCTGATAATATTACCCATTTGCCTAGGTTGGAACAAGTGAGGAGGGATTCGAACCCGAGACCCACTGACTGAAAATCTAGCAATCAAATCGATGAGCCACTTCTCCACTTATTACCTATGACCGGGATATAGAGACTTTATCAACATATAGCGAATAACTTCTAAAGACACCATAGTGAATATATGCGATGTTAATCTCAATATCAACAAGCTAAATACACATGTCCAGTTTGAGAATCTACTCAGTCAAACTTATGATCTCACACCATCGTCAGAACAGGACTTCCAATGCTTCAAATCTACAATCACTGACTCTTGCAATCAATACCTTAATGCAAGATCAAAAATGCAAAGTCTCTTGACCAAACAGCACAAAGAAGAACTTAAACTTTTGACGCATAACAACGATATATTACTAACACGCCCTGACAAGGGTGCAGGTGTTGTTATTATGGATCGTAAGGATTATATCGACAAAATGTCAGGTCTACTTTCAGACAGCAGTAAATTCTCGAAACCGAACGAGAAAAATAAGACGGATTTAATTGAAAAAGAACTTACAGAAGCTTTAAAAAGAATGAAGAACAATCATCTCATTCGTGAAGAATTATACGAAAAGATCAGACCAACAGGATCTCTAATACCAAGACTCTACGGTCTACCGAAAATACACAAAGCTGGCCTTCCACTCCGCCCTATCTTGGATATGTCTGGATCGCCCTATCATCCAGTAGCTGGATGGCTAGCTGAAATCCTTGAACCTGTCAGGGAACAGCTATCTAATCATTCTCTCCGGGACACCTTCCAATTTGTTGAATGTATACAGGATATAAATGCGTCGAATAAACATATGTTGTCTTTGGACGTAGAATCCCTATTTACGAACGTTCCACTGACAGAAACTATATGTTTTATATGCAAATATATAGAAGACAACAAATTGAATATAGGAATACCCACTACAGATCTGAAAGAACTACTTCTGAGATGTACATTGAATGTACAGTTTACTTTTAATGAAGCTATCTACAGACAGAAGGATGGTATTGCAATGGGTTCTCCCTTGGGTCCTCTCCTTGCAGACTGTTTTATGTCCAGTCTAGAAAATGATCAGCTGAAGCCTATAATCCAAAGTTTTCAAATGTATAAAAGGTACGTAGATGACACCTTTATTATTTGTAATAGTGATTGTAACTTAAATAATATATTAGATGTATTTAATGGTTGCCATCCGGCGATAAAATTCACACTCGAAATGGAGAACGAGTCTAGCATGCATTTCCTCGATGTGAACTTATCAAGAAGGACCGATGGAACCCTGAAAAGATCGATTTATCGCAAGCTGTCATGGAATGGTCAACTGACAAATTTCTACAGTTGGGTACCCATTGGTCGAAAACGAAACCTGATCCGGTCGCTTGCCACTCGTATTCGGCGCATATGTAGCCCTGATACTGTGGAAGATGAGCTATACATCTTGAGGAAAGTCCTAATAGAAAATGGATTTCCACCACGTTTTATAGATAAGAATATTCATTCAAATCCTAAAAAACGTGAGTTATCAACCGTACCCAAGAAGACACTTTACATGAGCTTGGAATTCAAAGGGGACTTAGCTTCCGATATCATGAAACGGAGGATATCACAATCCCTGAAAAGAACATTCCCTGCTGCATCCCTGAGAATAGCCTTTTCTAGTCGACCATTATTGTTCAATAACCTGAAGGACAAAATCCCGCTGTTGACCAACTCTATGTGTGTTTATCAATTCACCTGCTCTTGTGGAGCTAGGTATATCGGTCGTTCGACACGAGTTTTGTCCAAGAGGGTGCAAGAACACTATCCTGCATGGTTACGAAAAGGTGGTAGTGGAGCAATAAGAAGCGCGATCATTGAACATCTGGTCGAGAATGATCACCCTATCTCTATAGCCTCCGCCTTCAAAGTCATCTACAAGGCAAAGAGTAATCTACCCAAATCCCTACGTACCCGACTCATCTGTATTGCTGAAGCTTTGGCTATCGAAACAGAAAAGCCAGATCTCTGTGTACAGAAGAAGTTCGTTCAACCCCTCCAACTTTCATGGTCTTAATCCCTCTATGCTAAAGTATGGTAATCCCCAATCATACTTTAGCTCTACCAACTCTCCATTTTTTCATTTTTTCATTTTTGTCTATTCAATTTGTATACTCCTCCTTATTAAGTCAATTGTTACTATTACTACTCTCATTTTTAATTGTCCCCGGTATTATTTCACTTGTTCCACTTGTCATTCTAAATCAATTCCTTTATGCAACATTAAATTCTATGCTATTAAATTTCACACAATATTACGTAACGTTTTTATTTTTTCGATTTGTCTACTAATCTTATAATTGCACACCTTTTTCAAGTTCTATCCATCCTATGAATTATTCTATATATGACATTAATTTGCTTTGCCACTTGACCTTTAACTACGATTATAATCACAAACATTTTAGTTTTAATTGCACTTCATATTATTATTATTTCATGCATTCACACCTATGTTTCAATTCCCTCACCGGATATAACTTCTTAAAAACCATATATATACGATTGTACAGCTTGATGATAAATTCGTTGAAAAGAGTCTCTTCGCTGAATCATTTGTTTTGATTTTCTATATGTTACAATGGGAATTTTCCATGATTTAAAAAATAGCAAAGATCCCTCGACAGTAAAGGAACTCAATGGGTTTCTGCGTTATTCTGTCAAACTTGCCGTGGTGAATGCGGAGATTTGTTTTCTTAATGAATGCATCAATAATCATGAGTATCCGAAATGGTATTGGAAAGTTCTCCGACGCAATCACATATATCCCAATGCAAAATCTCTCAAGAGACACACATTAAATCACATTGACTCTATTAGTTCACGAATCCCTGAGTTAGAAAGGAATATATCGCAAAGATCTTCTGCTCTATATGACTTATCGATTGAAGAACGTCAAACGTTTAATGAATATGTCAACGTGGTCACCAACCAACAAACAATGTCTTTTAATTCTAAGCTATCTAATAGCCTAAAATCTATCGAATGTCTTCGAAAATTTCCTGAAAATTGTGAGAGATACGTGTTCAATCACTCTTCCATATCCCTATCAAAATTGCAAATGGAAGCCTTGTCAATGGGTTCGAAGTTTTGCGATGTTAATCTCAATATCAACAAGCTAAATACACATGTCCAGTTTGAGAATCTACTCAGTCAAACTTATGATCTCACACCATCGTCAGAACAGGACTTCCAATGCTTCAAATCTACAATCACTGACTCTTGCAATCAATACCTTAATGCAAGATCAAAAATGCAAAGTCTCTTGACCAAACAGCACAAAGAAGAACTTAAACTTTTGACGCATAACAACGATATATTACTAACACGCCCTGACAAGGGTGCAGGTGTTGTTATTATGGATCGTAAGGATTATATCGACAAAATGTCAGGTCTACTTTCAGACAGCAGTAAATTCTCGAAACCGAACGAGAAAAATAAGACGGATTTAATTGAAAAAGAACTTACAGAAGCTTTAAAAAGAATGAAGAACAATCATCTCATTCGTGAAGAATTATACGAAAAGATCAGACCAACAGGATCTCTAATACCAAGACTCTACGGTCTACCGAAAATACACAAAGCTGGCCTTCCACTCCGCCCTATCTTGGATATGTCTGGATCGCCCTATCATCCAGTAGCTGGATGGCTAGCTGAAATCCTTGAACCTGTCAGGGAACAGCTATCTAATCATTCTCTCCGGGACACCTTCCAATTTGTTGAATGTATACAGGATATAAATGCGTCGAATAAACATATGTTGTCTTTGGACGTAGAATCCCTATTTACGAACGTTCCACTGACAGAAACTATATGTTTTATATGCAAATATATAGAAGACAACAAATTGAATATAGGAATACCCACTACAGATCTGAAAGAACTACTTCTGAGATGTACATTGAATGTACAGTTTACTTTTAATGAAGCTATCTACAGACAGAAGGATGGTATTGCAATGGGTTCTCCCTTGGGTCCTCTCCTTGCAGACTGTTTTATGTCCAGTCTAGAAAATGATCAGCTGAAGCCTATAATCCAAAGTTTTCAAATGTATAAAAGGTACGTAGATGACACCTTTATTATTTGTAATAGTGATTGTAACTTAAATAATATATTAGATGTATTTAATGGTTGCCATCCGGCGATAAAATTCACACTCGAAATGGAGAACGAGTCTAGCATGCATTTCCTCGATGTGAACTTATCAAGAAGGACCGATGGAACCCTGAAAAGATCGATTTATCGCAAGCTGTCATGGAATGGTCAACTGACAAATTTCTACAGTTGGGTACCCATTGGTCGAAAACGAAACCTGATCCGGTCGCTTGCCACTCGTATTCGGCGCATATGTAGCCCTGATACTGTGGAAGATGAGCTATACATCTTGAGGAAAGTCCTAATAGAAAATGGATTTCCACCACGTTTTATAGATAAGAATATTCATTCAAATCCTAAAAAACGTGAGTTATCAACCGTACCCAAGAAGACACTTTACATGAGCTTGGAATTCAAAGGGGACTTAGCTTCCGATATCATGAAACGGAGGATATCACAATCCCTGAAAAGAACATTCCCTGCTGCATCCCTGAGAATAGCCTTTTCTAGTCGACCATTATTGTTCAATAACCTGAAGGACAAAATCCCGCTGTTGACCAACTCTATGTGTGTTTATCAATTCACCTGCTCTTGTGGAGCTAGGTATATCGGTCGTTCGACACGAGTTTTGTCCAAGAGGGTGCAAGAACACTATCCTGCATGGTTACGAAAAGGTGGTAGTGGAGCAATAAGAAGCGCGATCATTGAACATCTGGTCGAGAATGATCACCCTATCTCTATAGCCTCCGCCTTCAAAGTCATCTACAAGGCAAAGAGTAATCTACCCAAATCCCTACGTACCCGACTCATCTGTATTGCTGAAGCTTTGGCTATCGAAACAGAAAAGCCAGATCTCTGTGTACAGAAGAAGTTCGTTCAACCCCTCCAACTTTCATGGTCTTAATCCCTCTATGCTAAAGTATGGTAATCCCCAATCATACTTTAGCTCTACCAACTCTCCATTTTTTCATTTTTTCATTTTTGTCTATTCAATTTGTATACTCCTCCTTATTAAGTCAATTGTTACTATTACTACTCTCATTTTTAATTGTCCCCGGTATTATTTCACTTGTTCCACTTGTCATTCTAAATCAATTCCTTTATGCAACATTAAATTCTATGCTATTAAATTTCACACAATATTACGTAACGTTTTTATTTTTTCGATTTGTCTACTAATCTTATAATTGCACACCTTTTTCAAGTTCTATCCATCCTATGAATTATTCTATATATGACATTAATTTGCTTTGCCACTTGACCTTTAACTACGATTATAATCACAAACATTTTAGTTTTAATTGCACTTCATATTATTATTATTTCATGCATTCACACCTATGTTTCAATTCCCTCACCGGATATAACTTCTTAAAAACCATATATATACGATTGTACAGCTTGATGATAAATTCGTTGAAAAGAGTCTCTTCGCTGAATCATTTGTTTTGATTTTCTATATGTTACAATGGGAATTTTCCATGATTTAAAAAATAGCAAAGATCCCTCGACAGTAAAGGAACTCAATGGGTTTCTGCGTTATTCTGTCAAACTTGCCGTGGTGAATGCGGAGATTTGTTTTCTTAATGAATGCATCAATAATCATGAGTATCCGAAATGGTATTGGAAAGTTCTCCGACGCAATCACATATATCCCAATGCAAAATCTCTCAAGAGACACACATTAAATCACATTGACTCTATTAGTTCACGAATCCCTGAGTTAGAAAGGAATATATCGCAAAGATCTTCTGCTCTATATGACTTATCGATTGAAGAACGTCAAACGTTTAATGAATATGTCAACGTGGTCACCAACCAACAAACAATGTCTTTTAATTCTAAGCTATCTAATAGCCTAAAATCTATCGAATGTCTTCGAAAATTTCCTGAAAATTGTGAGAGATACGTGTTCAATCACTCTTCCATATCCCTATCAAAATTGCAAATGGAAGCCTTGTCAATGGGTTCGAAGTTTTGCGATGTTAATCTCAATATCAACAAGCTAAATACACATGTCCAGTTTGAGAATCTACTCAGTCAAACTTATGATCTCACACCATCGTCAGAACAGGACTTCCAATGCTTCAAATCTACAATCACTGACTCTTGCAATCAATACCTTAATGCAAGATCAAAAATGCAAAGTCTCTTGACCAAACAGCACAAAGAAGAACTTAAACTTTTGACGCATAACAACGATATATTACTAACACGCCCTGACAAGGGTGCAGGTGTTGTTATTATGGATCGTAAGGATTATATCGACAAAATGTCAGGTCTACTTTCAGACAGCAGTAAATTCTCGAAACCGAACGAGAAAAATAAGACGGATTTAATTGAAAAAGAACTTACAGAAGCTTTAAAAAGAATGAAGAACAATCATCTCATTCGTGAAGAATTATACGAAAAGATCAGACCAACAGGATCTCTAATACCAAGACTCTACGGTCTACCGAAAATACACAAAGCTGGCCTTCCACTCCGCCCTATCTTGGATATGTCTGGATCGCCCTATCATCCAGTAGCTGGATGGCTAGCTGAAATCCTTGAACCTGTCAGGGAACAGCTATCTAATCATTCTCTCCGGGACACCTTCCAATTTGTTGAATGTATACAGGATATAAATGCGTCGAATAAACATATGTTGTCTTTGGACGTAGAATCCCTATTTACGAACGTTCCACTGACAGAAACTATATGTTTTATATGCAAATATATAGAAGACAACAAATTGAATATAGGAATACCCACTACAGATCTGAAAGAACTACTTCTGAGATGTACATTGAATGTACAGTTTACTTTTAATGAAGCTATCTACAGACAGAAGGATGGTATTGCAATGGGTTCTCCCTTGGGTCCTCTCCTTGCAGACTGTTTTATGTCCAGTCTAGAAAATGATCAGCTGAAGCCTATAATCCAAAGTTTTCAAATGTATAAAAGGTACGTAGATGACACCTTTATTATTTGTAATAGTGATTGTAACTTAAATAATATATTAGATGTATTTAATGGTTGCCATCCGGCGATAAAATTCACACTCGAAATGGAGAACGAGTCTAGCATGCATTTCCTCGATGTGAACTTATCAAGAAGGACCGATGGAACCCTGAAAAGATCGATTTATCGCAAGCTGTCATGGAATGGTCAACTGACAAATTTCTACAGTTGGGTACCCATTGGTCGAAAACGAAACCTGATCCGGTCGCTTGCCACTCGTATTCGGCGCATATGTAGCCCTGATACTGTGGAAGATGAGCTATACATCTTGAGGAAAGTCCTAATAGAAAATGGATTTCCACCACGTTTTATAGATAAGAATATTCATTCAAATCCTAAAAAACGTGAGTTATCAACCGTACCCAAGAAGACACTTTACATGAGCTTGGAATTCAAAGGGGACTTAGCTTCCGATATCATGAAACGGAGGATATCACAATCCCTGAAAAGAACATTCCCTGCTGCATCCCTGAGAATAGCCTTTTCTAGTCGACCATTATTGTTCAATAACCTGAAGGACAAAATCCCGCTGTTGACCAACTCTATGTGTGTTTATCAATTCACCTGCTCTTGTGGAGCTAGGTATATCGGTCGTTCGACACGAGTTTTGTCCAAGAGGGTGCAAGAACACTATCCTGCATGGTTACGAAAAGGTGGTAGTGGAGCAATAAGAAGCGCGATCATTGAACATCTGGTCGAGAATGATCACCCTATCTCTATAGCCTCCGCCTTCAAAGTCATCTACAAGGCAAAGAGTAATCTACCCAAATCCCTACGTACCCGACTCATCTGTATTGCTGAAGCTTTGGCTATCGAAACAGAAAAGCCAGATCTCTGTGTACAGAAGAAGTTCGTTCAACCCCTCCAACTTTCATGGTCTTAATCCCTCTATGCTAAAGTATGGTAATCCCCAATCATACTTTAGCTCTACCAACTCTCCATTTTTTCATTTTTTCATTTTTGTCTATTCAATTTGTATACTCCTCCTTATTAAGTCAATTGTTACTATTACTACTCTCATTTTTAATTGTCCCCGGTATTATTTCACTTGTTCCACTTGTCATTCTAAATCAATTCCTTTATGCAACATTAAATTCTATGCTATTAAATTTCACACAATATTACGTAACGTTTTTATTTTTTCGATTTGTCTACTAATCTTATAATTGCACACCTTTTTCAAGTTCTATCCATCCTATGAATTATTCTATATATGACATTAATTTGCTTTGCCACTTGACCTTTAACTACGATTATAATCACAAACATTTTAGTTTTAATTGCACTTCATATTATTATTATTTCATGCATTCACACCTATGTTTCAATTCCCTCACCGGATATAACTTCTTAAAAACCATATATATACGATTGTACAGCTTGATGATAAATTCGTTGAAAAGAGTCTCTTCGCTGAATCATTTGTTTTGATTTTCAATATATGATCAGTCTTAAAAATGAATTTGCAATTACTCATGCACTGTTTACTAGCCCCAAAACCTCACTTAGTCCACTAGCTAATAGTAAGACCAGAAAAACGAAACGTGAAGCTAGTAACCTCACCTCGTAAGAAAATAACACAAATGCTACAGAAACTTCATGGCGTGAGGGTCTATGTTCTGCTCGGAACGCAAAGGAATGGACAAAATGTGTGCATGGTTTCTTTGGAGAAGTAAAAGATACAAGGTAGGGTTTGTGGGCCTGATGGCTCCAACTGTGCATTACGACAGCAAATTTCGTAGCTTGAAGATCATTTTGCAGACTTGATTAATAGAATTCAGTCAGATACATGGCACTTTTTACAGCTGCTCATAGTTTGTTGTATCACACCATTGTTAGTGTGAGGGCTGGGATACTGATCGGGCGTCAAAACTGAAGCAGGTAGGGTTGTCTTAAGGGACCACCCTCTGAGCCTTTGACTTGGAGTCTCATTCGCAAGTCAACGTATCAGTGTCAGGAGCTACGTTCCCACGGTTGCCAGTGACCAATACAGATTCAAACGATATTCGATCTGTTTGGATATTGGAGCCTATGCACTCCATAGTAACTGCTTTTAGTCTAACCGCTACCCAAAGAGCCTTCCTGACATGATCGAACCTGCAGGAACATAAGTCCCAGCTAGTGTAGCTTTTTGAATCACTGCAGTATGCAAGCCCCACTACCACGTCAAAGTAGCAGTTATCAACCGGGAGTTACAGCCCACTACTGACCAGTCAATGTAAATAAGGTTTCCTATCGGTTACCGATTATTTAACACAGCAAACATGATATGTATCCTATTGCATATAACATACATTACAGACCCAGTGAGATTTTGTTATCAGTAAGGAAGATAATGGCATGAAGCCGATTACTACCCCGATAACTGATTAGAGTAAAACATACCAAAAAAGTATAATAAACGCTATAAATTGTGATCAATGTTAGCCAGTATAAATCAATGCAACAAACCGTATACCTGAAAATGTTTTGTTTTCCCTGGTGTAACTGATACTGAAACTTTTTTATGACCTAATATTGCATTGAGTGTACTTGACTTCCCAACATTTGGATAACCAATGAAACCAACAGTTAAAGGATTTTTCGATTGATAATTTGATGGTCTATATTTTTGTGTAAGTAGATCCAATAATTCTTCAACTCCAACAAGCTTTGAATTAACTTCACCACTAAAATGTTTGAGATTAATTAATAGAAAACAGGAAAGGAGGTTACGCAGAGAGAATAGATTTTAACTAATTTTATATTATTTTTCCCGTTGACTGACTGAACCGGAATGTTCGGCTACTGTTGATATGTAGGCCCCTAGTGCGAATGCTTCGATGTTGGCTGAGGATTAGAATGAAGTTATTTGGTGGATGCTGACTGGCAGTAGAATCCATGATGCCAGATGTACTTGGAATCCCCAGTGAGTGAATGTTTCCACTGGGACCTTTAACCCGGTATTCTTCGCTTAAAACGCCAAAGCGTTATCCACTATACCACTCGGACTACGACTTTAACTAAATTGTTATTTGAGAAGCATTACAGGCTCAGATTATAAATTGGTTAACTTATTTCATGCATCTAGCACAAAACAGTGAGATAGTACTAATTAGTAACTGTAAAGCCATGGCTTATTGGTCCAACCACAGGGCCACAGGTTCGGACCCCACTCCTCCCACCGAGGTTTGAGGGTCCAGGTGGTATCACTAGTCCCCACACAATAGATGTGAGTTGTAAGTGGTTGCTGAGTAACATTTCGTCTCCTCCTCACATAATCTCTTTCATGTCACCCTGAGACATCCAACTCGTCGTTTCCTATTCAGGTTCCACCCTAGGGCCTGAATCATCAAATTACTTCCCACTCTGTAAATTCACTAAAATGTCTGCAGAATCAAATGAAGTAATAGCTGAATTATTATTTCATTACTGATAAGGACCAAAGCTATGAACAGAAATGAACAATACCTCATGGCTTCTTCTAACCGATTTACGTGGATTGATGACCAGGTGTATTTCATTCGTAATAGAATACCTAAACTCTCCAGTAGGCTGATGTCTGCATAAATTATTCCAATCAGTTGTCATATTAAAACACTATCTACCGAAATCGAGATATCCTACGAATTCAGCTGGTTGCACATTAGTCCAGTTATTGAAAGATGTGAGACTCGAATGTTGGCTTTAGCTACGGTCTCCACCACTCTAAGGCTACAAATATAATTTCACCTTCAAAATTATGTCAGATGATCAAGCAAACAGTAAGTTGGAAAGAGAGAAGTAAATTCCAAAACACCATTGTTTTCATTACCATATATCGTGGTAATCAGGTAAGTGGCAACCCACACTTTATGAAATAGTGTGACCATCTGTCAACATTATCCAGAAGTAACTGTCTTTACAGATAACTAAAGTGCCCCAGAAGGTCATGAAATACCACTGACACTTCAAAATTCTACCTTGAAGTAAATTATTGGTAAACAATACAGTTAACTGATTTGACGACAATTTTTTATCAGTAATCGCAATCAGATTCAAAGCTATTGAACGAATGGTGAAAAGTTCATCATAGAACTTATTGAACCTAGATTTCATCTATACCATTGTTACAGAGTCTCAAACTACAATAAAACAACTAAAGCTGTTGTCCCCTCACTTTTAATGACTCTTCCTTCCGAAGAGGAGAAACTGGGGTAAGAATCTCCTTCCAAATAATGAAAATAGTATACAAGAGTAGTCTTTTAAAACAAATGCAAGAGATATTTATTCAACTTGACTTGGCAAGAGTAAATTAGTAATCAGCTATGGAAACAGACTTTTTATGTACCAAGGTGATAGCTGGTAGTAGTACTACACAGCTGCCTCAGGTTGAATTAGGTGGAGGGACTCAAAACTTGGGCCCACTGACTGAAGGTTGATAGTTAATGGACCCCATCTCCACGCTTAAAAAGAAGGCATAAAAAATCATGGCAGCAACGTGAGTAGGAATTAATGTTCCAATGACTGTTTCTCTAGTTACTTTATCAATATTGAGTATGTGATATTCATTATTATAAAACTTTTTGTGTTTCCCAATGAATGAAAAACAAAACGATATTGTTTTTTACTGACATTTCGCTATTCAATCCTGTTAATAGCCTTATCAAAGTATTGTCAAACCAGAATTTACAAAATCTCAGCTAAAATATAACAACTTAATCATCTTTCATCAGAAGGGGATAATTTTTACGTCGTTAAGTTGGTCACTTGGTAAAGATAACAAAACCAGGTGTAGTTTGTTGGATTTGATAAGTGTATAAGATTATAAAAGCAAAGTGTGTTTAAATAATGAAATTGCTTTTCACATCCGTGTTGATTTTGTCACTTTATGGGGGAATGGGTCAAATTCTGTTTTAGTCCATCATTCATATTCAGACAATTTGGATTCTACTTGATAAGAAGTGCTTCTGATGATATTAGACGTTCTTTGTGATTTCTGAGATTTTTCTGGATCATTTCAATATTGTCAAAATCAATTTTGTGACCTGATTCTATAGCGTGTAGATCTATGGCTGATCATTTTCCAAGTTTTTCCAGTTCAATTGGATTTCTCGGTGGTCGAACAGATGCTCTATGGTGTTCACTTCTTCTGATTTTGATTTCTCGAGATGTTTGTCCGATGTATATCGCATCACATTCCAAGCACTTTATTTTATAGACATAATTAGATAGAGAATCTTTGGGGATTTGGTCTTTTATATGGACAATGTTGTTTCGCAGTGTGTCTGATGTTTTAAAGAAAACTCTGATGTCGAGCTTATTGAGTACTCTTCTGATATCGTCTGACGTCTCCACTCTATATGGAATGAAAACTGTTCAGGTCCATGTTTTCGAAATACTTTTCCTACCATACTTAACTCATCAATAAAATCAAAATTGACATTAAGTATGGTTGAAAACGTGAATATCATATACCCAATGTCTAAATTTTTTCAAACTGTTAAAAGTGAACTTGGTTTGGACATATATAATCGAAAGAAAACAGTTTTTCGAAACATGCGATCTAAGATTGAATAAATGATTCATACAGTTAGATGATTTTGCATCCGTTAACTTTAACAGACACCTTTCCACTAAGAACGGCTTTTTTCATAGATATTTGTTGAAATAACTCTCGAAACTTATAAAGATGTAGAGCTTGGACATAACAGTAGAGTAAACCTCAACATTAGTTTGTTTAATAGGTATATTATCATTATTTACTGGACAATATTTTGAAGATAACTTCTTGTGAAGTTTTATCGACCCATTTTCTGCCCAGACACAAGAAGGTCCTGTCAGATCATCCCAAGTGCTTAGCATTATGTTCAACAACTAATCAAATATTCAAGTGTTGGTTTGTAGAGATTTGATTGATTGGTTACAGGATTTCATCAAATAGTTAGTAAAAATACTTAATAAAGCCTGGAAATAATAATTAACGATAGAATAGCAAAACGAATTATAAGAATCATAATGACAACAAACTGTTACATTACTACACAGGACTTACTGAGTTGGATTGCATGTTTCAACGTTAGCTCCTGAATCTACAGGACAAGATGTAACTTCTGAATTAGATTCAGTGGATGTTTCTGTATTATTTACACTACTGGAAACAGTGGATTCATTGCAGTTCGACTTATCTGATGGTTGTGATGAACACTGAACAGGACAAACCTCCTGTTCATTACTGATGTTTCCAGAGAGGGTTACTGTACTCGCCTCACTGTCAGTATCTGAATCAGTTGAATTCTCTACAAAATCATCTTCACTTTCTTCACTGACCTCATCACTTTTCTCTTCTTGTTCAGTATTAGACTGGGATTTAGTATTAACACCTTTTCCGAGTATTTGTTCACTGGCTAGAGTAGCAGACCAAAATATTGCATTAATACCATTGGTGTTGAAATATTGTGCCCATACAGAACTGAATTAAATTAAATAGACACACAAAAGCATAAAGATTAGAACACACAATGCTCATGTGACATCTTAGCGTCATAACAATGTTATCTATAATACTGGCAAACGAAAGAAATCGGCTACTACATATATACAATTCTCATAAGAGTAAAATATAAAGCAATTTAAGTAAGAGTGAAATCTGTTCTAGTTTAATATATCCTAGAATGACAGTTCCATAAGGTGGAATAGTAACTCTGTTTGAGCTGGAGTTGGACGAGTATCATATCTGTCAGAATCTAAATATTCTGTTTTTTTACAGTGAAATTGTGGCTTGTAGAACGACTAAATACATCAGCAAGTGGACCATAAGTGCTAATTCTACTCGAAATTTCGAGAGTAATAGTTTTTTTAATTCATACACTTTCCTTAATTCCTGAAGCTATGTATAATCAGAAAATGGACCGAACTAGACAGAAATATAAGGACAAGTCACTTTGAAACACAGAATTTATGCCTCTAGTTTTATTAGATATTCAGGTCAAATTAGGTGAAGTAGCTTTGAATTCATCACGCAGTTGCTGACAATTAGTTCTTTAAGCCGACAAGCCACAGTTTTATTGTCAAATTCATTTGTGGAAGATACAGAGAAAAACGTAACGAAACAGGAATTCTAAAAAAGATGTTCACAGAAATTATCGACAAGACCCGATTGAGTATTTATTTTGATGTAGAAGTTATTTATTTATTTTGTTTTATTTATTATAGCTTGATTCCACACAGTATTTTTGATACAAGTATGGAATTTTCAGCATGTGATATCGGTAGCCCAAATTTAGCAGGCCGACCATTGGTATCGGGTGTGCGTTGGCCAGGGATCGAACCCCGGACCATGTACATGGTCGATGAGCGTCTTAATCTCTGTGCCACCAGCACATACAGTGATCGTCTTACTCATTTGTTTACATAATTCCTTCTTGTTGGAAATACTACACGGATAGAGTTAACATTGAAATGTGACTAACTGATTTAGGCTAAGAATAAAAGTTCTAACTCTAAATGAAGGAGGAATTTGCATCATTTGAATAAATCTATTGTTGAAAACTTTTGACTCGTAGGTAGTATGTCAGCAAAAAATACATTTAAACAAATGCATTTGGTTTAGACTCATTCTACACGTGCTGGATATCAACAAACATTACTAGCTGCTACATGGGAAAACTTTGGTACATTACACTGACTTTGCACGAATGTTATATTTTCGGGTGTGAGTGAACAGTGGACTTTACAATGCTTGAACCAACACTTATCAGTAAGAAAAGTCGGACTAATTGGACAATTATAACACCACACTATGATAAGACACAGGAGTTAAGAGATTTTTCAAACCATAAAACACTACTCTCTTACCTATACAGGAGACAAAAGACCATGGCAATTTCAAGTTACTGAGTTACATGATCACTAGATACATAGCCGATATGTTTTTAATCCCTACATAAAGCTAGAACAGTACTTAATAATCTGAATCCTTCGTAGCATCACTGCGAGGTTAGTTTAGCCATTAAGAGTGCTTAAACGCATACAGTTCTGCTCTACTCCTAAGAAAATGAAGACGATCAGAAACTGTATGTTTCATGGTCGTCGCTGTCTCCGTAAGACAGCCTTAATCTCACAGCAACATTAATTAAGTAATTTTGGGCTTCAAATGTGCGCAGTAAGACAAAGTAGAACTTGTACACAATCTCGGAACAACTACTATCTTTAATACATTTTAATGCGTTATTCAAAAGACGTCAACAAGGCTCACTGTTTGCTAGCTGTGGAGGCAAAGAATGGATTATCTCATAATAGCTGGGTCACATTTGTTGGTAAATTACCGTTCCCTAGATAGGGTCCAAGAAACCAAGCGACTCAGTGACTCGAGATGTTAACAGATGTGGCTTAAAATCGTAGGAAATGTCGATAATAATAATAATAATAATAATAATAATAATAATAATAATGTAAGTTCTTTACTACTATCAAGAAAGGACAGAGTAAATAAAGTCTCCTATGCGTGCATCTTAATTTGTAAATACTTTGTTTGTCGCTGCTTAATTCTGTTATTGTATCATTTTGAGTAGCACAATTTTGGTGTATATGCTATATTATTACTACTATCATTAAAAACTCACCGTTGTTGTTCAGTAAGGAAATCAGACTTATTCACAAGTACCACAGATGTTTTGTTTGGATCCACTTCATGTATATATTTCTCCAAATCTTCACAGTAATATAAAAGTGGTTGTCGTGCATCGATCACTTGTACAACTACATCACTGCGTTCAACAACACGCCATAACTGACGCCAGAATTCTAAATTTCGCTCAAAAGGAGTAAGAGTTATGCCATCTTTTTCTTCTAACCTATAGAGGTAAAGGTAGAAAATTCACTTTACAAACAATCAGATTACTTTTTTATCAAAGTACAAATAACAAAAATGAAATAATCCATTTCCATATACGAAAATTGAATGGTTGAGTAAGGGGTCAACAACAATGAAATGTACATATACGCATAGAAAACCACTGAGCATTAACGCAAACTGAGTATAAACTGGGATTTACAATGTCAGCGACTACGTAAAATAAATTATTGATCACTTATTTCCACAAGAAATTTTACATTTGTAAATTTATTGACTACTAGTAAACACGTGTGCTGTGCTAACTATGATGAAGGTGAAACAAATTTGCACACATGTGCTTATATTTATTAGAGCAAATGTCTCTCTGAAGGGTTAAAGTTAAGATATCTTTTGTCCTGTTACTTCTATCCGGATAACTTTAAATTCACCTTGGGCATAGTACTACTTACGTCTTCTTCCATATTACTGCTCTTTTTGCTTCACACTTCTGTTTATTATGCCTCTCTTTTAATTATCTCTTTACTCTTTTCTCTTGCTTTGTGAGCTAAATGGAGTGTGGCAACTCGAACTGCTGCACATCTGTGCAAAGTTCTACGTTGAAACCAGTCCGTCAGTCTTGTGAACAACTGAGACAAAGCCGAAGTTCTCTTGATACTATAATATGTACAGAACCACGTATGTTACACGTATACAGAAAGTCAAAGTGAAGCTCTTTCGTGATTAATTATCCCAGCATTTATTTTGCAGGAAGCAAATCCTATAAACAACTATATATTCTATACACTCAACTTCGAGAAAAATGGGGTATAAACGCAAGATAACTTGACCTTTACAAGGGTTGACGTATTCTGTAGTTTTGTTTGCTCTTTTATCGAATAACCTAGAAGTGTGTTTCAGGACAGCTCTTACACACGATGAATAAACTTATGCACCATTATTTCGATTATCTTTGAACTTGCATATTGCTATTTTGAATTCTGAAAGTCCACTTTATCATATACTTATCCCTTTTACAGGTTTGAACCATATTTTTTTATTCGTCTCCTCTTTAATGTTAGTTAGTATGATATGTTCTCTTTGAAAGATCAGTGGCGGCTTTAAATTTATACATTCCTTTGGAGCGTCAATCACAAACTTTAAAGTAAAAGGTGTCATTCAACCCAAAACAATGATTTCTTTAGAAAAACAAGTTGATACTTGGTGTAAGCACTCAAATTTACAATATTCAGTGCTCAAGAATGAAAGCTCATATAACTAACAGCTATCTTGATAAAAAAAAAGTAGATGTTTTATTCTCTAGGAAAACACAAAAAACTGTCATTAGATAAACTAATCGGATAAAGTTGATAAACCAAACACGAAATTCAATAAAAACAAGTTAGATCTAAAACTCACAAAGCTAAAGATCGTCTCCAGTTCAAAAATTCCTCTTTCTCAAGATTATCCAACACATCAGCTGACATTTCTGTACTCCATTTTGGCCTATAAAAGATTAAACACAACATAACACTAAACACCTTTTTCTAAAGTTTTATCTAAGCGCCTGTAAATTATTTAGCGAGGCCCTAAATAAAATATGTTTCGTTCGGAAAAATACACTAGAGAAATTGCATGCTAATTTTAAATCTCACGACTACAACTATAGTTATCTGTCACTTAGCATACTCCCGGCCGATAACTGCTACCTTGCCGTGGTGGTCGGGCTTGAATGCCGCAGTGACCCAACAAGCTAAACTGGCTGGGACTCATGTCCCTGCAGGTCCTACCATGCCAGGAAGGTTGTTTGGATAGCGGTTAGACTAAAAGCAGTTACCATGGGGTACATGGGCTCCAGAATCCAATAGGATCAAATGGCGTACGAACCCATATGGGTCACCGGCAACCATGGGAACGCAGCACCTGACGCTGCTCCGCTGCCTTGCGGATTAGACTCCAAGTCAAAGGCTCGGGGGGTGGTCCCTTAAGAAAACCACCTGCTTCGGTTTGGGCGCCCGGGCAGTATCTCAGCCCTCACACAATTAATTAAATGAAGCAACGAACTATCAGTGAAACTCATCGCGCGCTCTTAACAATGCTCTCAAGCAGTAATGATGTCCCAGTTGATATATCTCTTTCCAACCTTACTTTTATTTTTATACTTAGTTTCCTATATTTTACCTTTCCTAACCTTGACTTCTTAACCTTCGACAGCCTTTCGCCTTTGTTTGGATTCCTAGCCTATCTGTGTCGTTTCGAGATGTTAGTGAATAGTCCTCAAAATGGCTGTCCCCAATGTGACTTCTAACACAGATATCCTGAAACCGCGTGCTGCGTTCAAGCTGGCTACCTACAATGTTCGGACGCTGATGCAAATCGGACAACAGGCAGGGTTGGCAAGAACTTTGGAAAGCCTCGCTATCGATGTCTGCTGCATTTCGGAGACCCGCATTCAAGATCCCAGTGAAGTGCTTCGACTGTCCTCTCCATCTGGAAGTTCTAGTAGTATGTACCACCTGCGCTTATCCGGGGACCCTGTGGCATCAGCATCCGGCGTAGCTGGTGTCGGTGTCGCACTGAGCGCTAGAGCCGAAGCTGCACTGCTCGACTGGATTCCCATTAACAGTCGTTTATGTGCTGTGAGGCTGGAAGGTTATACGAAAGTAAGGAGTAGTAGGCCAGATAGGCGGTGTCTATTTGTTGTCTCTGCCTATGCACCGACGGATTGCAGCCCGGATGCAATGAAGGATGAGTTTTACTACCAACTGAGCGATCTGTTGAAACAGGCGGGTCGGAGGGATATCGTAGTGCTAGCTGGGGACTTGAACGCACAGGTCGGGCGTCTAAGCTCAGAGGAGAGTCGTCTAGGTGGTCAGTGGGGATTACATGGTCGCAGGTCAGATAATGGGGACCGTCTTCTGCAGCTTTGCGCGGATCACAACCTATTTCTAGCCAGCACCAACTTCCGGCACAGCCATCGCCGTAGCGCTACCTGGCGTCCTCCCTCCGCGAAGCAAGCTTGGACTCAGATTGATCATATTGCGGTCAGTTTCCGGTGGCGAGGATGCATACAAGACTGTCGCTCCTTCTGGAGCACATGCCTGGACTCCGATCATGCGTTAGTGTGTGCCAAGTTCGTCTTGCGATTTGGTGGGGTTCGTAAAAACCGTCGTCTAAGCGTTGATGTGAGCAAACTAGTAGCACCTGCTACTTCTTTGAAATATCAGAACGAGTTGAAAACAATGCTTGCCAGCAACCCCCCAAGTAGTATAGATGAACACTGGGTTCATGTGCAAGGTGCCATGCAAAAGGCGAGTGTAGCCGCTTGCGGCTTGAAAGAATGCTCCGCTAACAACCACTGGGTTTCTGCGAGTTCCTTGCAACTCATGGATGAACGCCGGTCCATTCCGGCTGGCTGTGAATACAACAATCAGCGAAAGGCGCTCACGCGCAAGATTAGACAGTGTTTACGTAAGGACCGCGAAGCCTGGTGGTCAGAACGTGCGTATGAGATGGAGTCAGCTGCTGCATCTGGCAACAGTCGGAAGCTGTTCCAACTCATACGAGCCACCGGCAGCAAGAAACAAGGTGTCAGCGAGACGGTCTGTGAGGCAGATGGCACTCCAATTACCAGCCTGAAGAGACGCCTGGAACGCTGGGCAGAGCACTTCGGGAAGCAGTTCAGCTGGCCACCAGCTTCATTGTCTACTATGATTAGCCCGAGTGCTCCTTGGTCGGTTAGTACCGACCCACCCACCGAAGCGGAGGTCCGTAAGGAACTCCAAGTTCTGAAACGCCATAAGGCGCCCGGCCCAGACAAATTACCCCCGGCTCTTTTTAAAGATGGTGGCGAGACTCTCATAATGGCTCTAACTGGGTTGTTCAGGAGGGTGTGGGAGACAGAGAGCGTACCATCAATGTGGAACGAAGCCATTATCGTCCCCATCTTTAAAAAGGGTCGACGTAATTCCTGTGACAACCATAGGGGTATCAGTCTGTTACCAGTTGCGTCTAAAATATTGGCTGCTGTCATGCTTCGCAGACTGTGCAAAATACGCGAAGGATTGATTCGCGAAGAGCAGGCTGGGTTTCGTTCAGGTCGTGGATGCATTGATCATGTGTTCACCCTTCGTCAGTTGTTGGAACACCGCCACACGTATTGCAGGCCAACGATCGTTGTGTTTCTTGATATTAGGGCTGCCTTCGATTCGTTGGACAGAACTGTGCTCTGGAACTGTCTGTTAGAGAGAGGTGTACTTGAGAAATTTGTTAACATCTTGAAAGCCCTATACAGAAACACCTCAGGTAGAGTGAGGGCATACAACCAACTATCACCACTGTTCCCAACCAACAGTGGGGTTAGACAGGGTTGCCCAATCTCACCGTTTCTCTTTAACTTTGCCATCGATGACATTCTGGAGTCAGCTCTGAAGGATGTGCGTGAAGGTGGTGTAGATCTGCTACCTGGAGATAGACTTTTCGACCTCGAGTATGCAGACGATATCGTCTTACTGTGCGATAGCATGCAGGCTGCCCAAATCGCACTCAATCAGTTGGCGATCAGTGTCTGTAAGTATGGTATGTGCTTTGCGCCGTCTAAGTGCAAAGTACTGTTACAAGATTGGCAGGAGCCTGTACCTGCACTCACTCTTGCGGGTGAACCGCTTGAAGTTGTTGATAAGTTTGTGTACCTAGGTAGTTGTGTGAGTGCTGGCGGAGGGGTGACGGATGAGATTTCCAACCGTATAATGAAAGCTAGGGTGGCATACACCAACTTGAGCCACCTCTGGCGCCGTCGTGACGTTAGCCTGGCTGTCAATGGTCGGGTATACAATGCTTCGGTGCGGGCTACGCTGCTCTACGCCTGTGAAACCTGGCCTCTCCGAGCTGAGGATGTGAGGCGACTCTGCGTGTTCGATCACCGCTGTCTCCGCAGGACTGCTTGCGTTCGATGGCATCATCGCGTGAGTAATTCTGAGGTTCGGCGGCGTGTGTTTGAACACAGTGGAGATCACCATTCATTGAATGTCGTCATCTGGAAACACCGGCTCCGGTGGCTTGGACATGTGCTGCGAATGTCACCCCAGAGGCTTCCGTACAGGTCTCTGTTCGCTAGCCCTGGGACGGGATGGAAAAGGCGGAGAGGTGGTCAGCTCATGACGTGGCGTCGTGGGATGAAGGATATTTGTGCTAGATTAGCATCGGTTGGTGTGTCACGACTCCCTGGTTGGGGTCTGAGAGATAGCTCAAATCGATGGCTCGAAACGTTATCGGATATGGCCAAGAATCGTAATCAATGGCGAATGTGTTGCGATTTCCTTCTTTCTTCCATTCCCGATGATAGTTAACGAACACTGTTTGAACCTGTTAAGAATGAGTGTTTTCCTTCCAGATGAAGTTCATTATTCGTTCTCTACTTATATATATTTTTTCTTTTCCTGCCTTCCTTTTTTTTCATTTATGTTGTTTTATTATTATTGTGTGGCGCATCCTTCTTGGTGCCATATTGTACCAAGTTTTAATGCGTTTAAATAAATAAATAAATAAATAAAATACTTAGCATACTTAACTTGTGGCAAGAAACATTTAACATTTGAGCTAGTTGACGCAAGCAGAGTTCAGCTTTCTATAGTCATTCACTAGAAAATACTTAGTACTATCGCATCACAACATAACACTGGGTCATTTCATGTATCTGAAATTCCACAAAACGTTTTACATAGTCAGCATGACCCCTAACCGTCTTTAATGAATCGAATTATACTGACAAGATGGTAGATAAAATAAAACTATTTTAGCATCACTTACGATCAAGTGTATTATGTCAAGTCCAGTGGACACATATAGTGACTAACAATAAAAGTTTCAGTATTTAACAAGACCCAGTGGCTTAAGAAAACTATTACTTTTAAAGTTACCTACTGAAAAGGAATGGACACGACCTATCAATATAGCAGTAATAAAATTAGTCAGTGTCAAAAGAAGTCACATATATCAAACAATGGGCCTTACAGTTGACAGTACATTTTATTTCTCTTCTTTTTGTGACTACTGCAGTACTCTTCTAGAACATATACTTGCATGTTCTCTATCGGAAACCAGTAGTTAGAAGTCCGATTGGTGATTTTTTCGGCCGAAAACTGATGCGAGTGACATACAAAATTGATGCTACTTTACAGGATAGGACTAAAGCTTTTCAGTACTGATTACTAGATTAACTCCTTCGGAATACAGCAAGACTTGATTCGCTATATACTATGAAGTTATTCATCTGCAAAGAAACATCAAGTTTAAACCGACAAAAACACCCGATTGATATGAAAGCATTCATTTATGAAAGCAGTCCGATATGCCAGCCCCATACCAACAGGAACCGATTAAAAATCCATGAAATCAAAACTAGGTACTTAACTTCTGGGTATTTTGAGACATTGTTTATACTGCTTTTGGACTTCAGAGATTTTTAAACGCTCAGCTGCACTTTGAATCCCAGTTACCTCGGAATCACTCAGCAACCTGATATTTTTCTTCTCTAAGACAAATTAGGTTTTTTTAATAGATCTTACCAGCTTTAAATTCCTGGTTAGCAAGTTTAGCAATGCTGAAAAACTCATCGAGACCAGTTTGTTCAGTGACGGAATAGACGGGTAAACGAGACCAATCGGAATCATTATAAGTCCCAACAATGTGCCTCCCCTGATAATAAATAAGTAGATAACAGCAAAAACTTACTGATCGTTCTGAAGTCGATGTACCCAAACGTTTCACAAGAGTCCGTCCAAGTCCATGCTTTTTCCCCATGTAGCGTAAAAGTCTAACTTTTCGGTAGTTTCAAGGACGAATTGCAGATTCAGTTAACAAGTTAGTAATCCTTCCTATTTCCTGCATATCACATGACTGAAATACCATAAATCGAATAAAAGACGTGATATTCAAGACTTTTACTCTTCCGGAAGATTGGTATCCACTGGAAGCTCTGGTATTTCCTGATAAGTTGCAGTTGGTGACCGTTCAAGAGGGCTGAAATTATACCGCATGCTCAAGGTCATTGATGGAGTGAGACGCTCAAAGGTCATTTTCGTCCACGTTAGTCGGTTATGTTGGATTGCAGTTCCATAGCCGTTCGTTTGCACATTGGTTTTATGTTCTGTTGGCATTTATAGGTGATTCCCATGTACTGATAGCATTCTTTTGTAAAATAGTACTGTTCTTCACACGAAAATAGCCACATTTTGACGTAGTCTTAATTGAATGACACTATGTCGAAAGCTGCAGCTTCTACAAGAAATAAACTATTTGCGTAGATGACATTACCCACCAACTACCCCATCTTCTTCATTGTAGAGCTGTTTTGACGCATTCAGCATGAAACACTAATCATTACAACCAATATGCTAAGTGTGTCGCAGTCAGATTAAATGACGCAGACACCAACATAACTAGCCAGGAAATGAGAATTCCTATCAATCCAGAAAACATACAACAAAATTTTATTAAAAACTATTGACAAAACAAATTTGCCGAGCGAAATTTCAACCAACATGCCGGATAAGTCCAGCCTTCAAGAGTTGTTTGAAGTGATCAGTCACTGTCGCCTTTGCTTCTTCTCATTGATTACTACGTTCCTTTCCGTGCTCTCACTGGTTTCGGCGAAGGCTGTTATCTTCCCAAGTGGAGAACTGGTCATCTGGTATGGTGATTTGAAATCTCTCTTATCTACGGGGTGTTCTGCTTTAGCTGTCCATGGAATTGTGCTTCTTTCCTAGCAGTCTTCCCCGGTTCTTCACGCAGTGCTTTCTGCATCGAACTTGGCTTCTTCTTCAGTTGTTCACCTAAATTCCGGTTCACACTTTGTTTGATCATGCTCCTCTGTTTGATCAGTTCCCAGGGCTGTACCGAGTCTTATTTCTTCTTCCTTTCGTAATTTTAGCCCTCAGTCTCTGAGTGCCGAACTTGAATTGTGGTCTTTCTGCAGCTTCTTTGGAGTATTTCGACTAGGCCTTGGAAGCATGAAAATATGAACAAGACGAATTAGCTCTGGTACAACGATGTAACACATGGAACGTTAGGTCATCTTCATAACGGCTGGAAGTTTTCGCACATTTGGATGTTACAAAATTGTATCAGCCTATCTACTCACCACTTTCCCAAGCACTGAGTCTATTGTTTGTCATTCAAATAATACTGCTATATATCCACTAGGAATAAACTATCTCATGGAGAATTTCTGGTATTCTGCTTTCCGCTTTAGATCCACAATATATAACTAATGTCACCCGTCCCACAAGAACCTCCTACGTTCACTTACTTCCTTTAGTGAAGTGAATCATTCGAAGTTGATACTTGTGGACAGTAATGCAACGGATCAAGGAAGTTCATTAAGTCACTTAAACCTTAGCCGTGATCCACATTTTTTGTCTGCGAGGACTGAAACTCATGATGTACAGCTAGATATCCAAAGGACAAAAACGCTTCAGCCGCTTTGTGATGTGACTGTGTATCTCTATACTCTTTGCCATCATTAGCAAACACACCTTTGACCAGTCGTGTAACTAGTTGGGGAGGTTTAGGAATGGTGTGGCCACCAGGTTAGATAGGCCGGGTAAGGAGTCAGCAGGTAGTGTAGCTAAAGATGAGGTCTGGTACTTGGATGGCCACATATCATTCGTGAGCGCTGTTTCTAGTTGAAACCAACTGGGAGCGAACTCGAAGTTGTTCAAGTACCCTAACTAGCTGGTTCTACAAATGTCTTCCATCTTGAAAGGTACATTTTGGAATGGAAATTTACACCCTCTGCCGTGTGAATGGAGACTACGAATACGTCGGAGTCGTCCTAATTTATTTATTTATTTAACCCTTTCGTCTTCAGTAGGGTCGAACATAAATTGCTGGGTGTGATACCGGCTTCCCTCTGGATCAGTTTAGATGGTAAAACAGTAACCAAGATCCTAAGAGACTGCGCTCATCCGGCTCCATCAACAATCTCCGAAATTGGCGCATTATTATTTGAATCACTTCTACTCGCCTGCTCGACCAGAGACAATTTCAAGATAATTTCAGGAGACCTTAATTTTACAGAAACGGATCAGGTGAGTGGTTGCAGCTCCGAATGCTTCGGAAGAATACTTGGTACCATTGACAGCTGTGGATGAAATCAATACGTCTAGACACCCACCTCGTGGTGAAAGCATGTTGGGCTTTGTTTACTGTCACGACTTAATCCCACTTTCATGTGCCTTTGTGACAGACTTTTCAACAGCAACCGTAGGAAAGAACTTTGCTCTGTGTTCAACTTATCAGCAGATGCCGGGAAAATACATGATACGAGGAACATGGTATGTTGTAGCTGCAAACACATAGACTGCGAATTAGTACAAGGACTCATCCGGTGTTGTCAACAGGATCACCAACGTTTCCCCGGAAATCGTGGTACTTTGCAAACCAACTCTTCAATAAAAACAATTACACAAAATGCCTACCAGCGGCTTGTACTGCCGCAGAAGTCTCATTTCGTCTCTAAACGCTCCCCTAAGAAAGCACGACAGTGGACTAGTCAAGCAAGGAAGGGTTTTTTCAATGATTGCGAACACTGAGTCAACATTCAATGAACCTGTTAATCCAAATCACTTTCCCGTTAGCTGGAGGCAACAATTCTTGTAGCTTAGACGTTTACTAGTTGACAGAAGACCAGGACAGTACGACCAGAAGTGTTAATGCATATTGCGCTAACGCTATTTGTAGACCTTTTCAGTATACTTTGATAATAGCCAACTGTGAATCACATGGTCAAGCTGCTGCTTAATTAACTTACTACACTGGCTTACACTTGACTGATCAATGAATCTTCGTGTTACAGTCCGTTTTTTAAAACCGTTTGAGTTGAAATCGAGACGGTTATCAAATACGTAAAGTAGTATTCTGGGTTCCGAAGAGGTGGCTACAGAAAATTTTCCTGGCACCGTTTCTGGTAAATGCATATGCTTACATTCACATATCGCTTCGTTTTTTTATTCCTATTTTTTGTCCTTCGTCTAGTTTGTTCCTCATTTCAGTATCACGTTAACCATTTGATTGTCTGATTTACAGTGACTTACAATACAATTTGAAACAGACCTAGAAACAACACTCACACTACATTTTAAAACTGCTTCACACAAAGGATACATACTTTTAATCCCAAGGTCATTGTGGTAGCTAAACATAAGCTACCCAGGATATTCGCCCGCCATAATGACCTTGACAAATATTTACAAACGAATTCCGTAAATTTCAAAATATTTGTAGGAAGGTAATATCATGGTAAAAAATAGTTATACAGGGTAACATTGTTGTGTCTGTTCCAAGAATGCATCCCAAATTCCTTATTGATAAGTAAGACCAGACTCTGCATATAAATTCGTCCAGGTGACGATATTTCATGCCGTCACGTGACCTGCTTACTTCTCGATCTCTTTTAATTAGAGAATAAAATACCATCCAATAAAATAAGAAAGGGATGACATACCTTCTCGAACTGACCATCTGCTACTACTGTCTTGGCATCTGTACATACACATATATATACAGGCTATTTATCAGTGTAAATACATTAATCCATCACATCTGCATATCTCACTGCTTCCTAAGAGCTCGATATCTAAGCAGTATGCAAATAGTACATTTGAATGGTGTATCTAACGTAATTCGCGTATGGTAACCATAATCCCGCCCATTTACCACGGCCTATTCTGACTGGCTGATCAAGGTCATCGCGTTCATTTATTTCTGTCCTTCGTTAGGGTCACCTATGTTTATGAAATGCTGTGTTATTGCCAGTAAACCATAGATACTATATTAAGATATCATCACTGTTTTAGAAATACCCACTGTGTGTACCAATTGTGTCACCAACTTTAGATAACTCACCCTTTATTGAAATTTGAATAGTGCTGACACCCGGAGCAAGTACACTACTTCTGCTTCTGTTAACCACCTTTATCGACACTTTCCGCCACTTAAGCGCTATTCCGTTGAGTATGTATACTACCTATTTCATGATTCAGCACACTGATGGTACTGTGAATTGGCGTGCCTTATGCACAAACAAATGAGGATATACCATTAATATTATTACGAAGATGGTCGATTGTCCATCAGAGTAATCGCATGTATTCCATCTATATTAAATGGTGAATTGTTGTATTATTCGAAAATGTTGCGAATATTTGTACAGTTATATTGCTTTTACTGACTTCCAAATAGTGTCTTGTTATTCGCTATAGAATTTTCAGGATGTGATCTTGTCAAATTAACTGCATGAAAATACTTTGAAAGATCTCCTTTGAATTGTGGTACTTTCACTAGAGATGGGGAAGGTTATTATAGAATTAGAAGTTGGTTACCTATATCTTTCCTAACGAACATTTTAGCGCAGGATATGGGTTAGTAGGATAGAGATGTATGCAAGTGCTAGATCTTGTATGTATCTGGCTCTAAGGCACCTTTCATTCTACCAGGAAACTTTACTTTTTAAATATGTAGAATAGACAAATACATTTCAGAAATCCATGTGACATGCACTTAGCAATCAAAAGTTTTGATTATAGCTTGATTCCACACAGTATTTTTGGTACAGGTTTTGGAATTTTCAGCATGTGATATCGGTAGCCCAAATTTTGCAGGCCAACCACTGATATCGGGTGTTAGTCGGCAGGGAATCGAACCCCAGACCATGTGCATGGTCGGCGAGCGTCCTAACCGCTGTGCCACCGATACACAATCTATGTCAATAATTATGAACATCATACTTTTATATCATTGCC